CAGGATTGAAAAAGGTCAGTTTACATTCCAATCCCAAAGAAGGGCAATGCCAAAGAATGTCCAAACTACTGCACCATTGCACTCATTTCACATGCTAGCAAAGTTATGCTCAAAATCCTACAAGCTAGGCTCCAGCAGTATGTGGTCCGAGAACTGCCAGAAGTACAGGCAGGATTTCGAAGAGGGAGAGAAACTAGAGATCAAATTGCCAACATACGCTGGATCATGGAGAAAGCTAGGGAGTTCCAGAAAAACATCTGCTTCATTGAGTACGCTAAAGCCTTTGATTGTGTGGATCACAACAACTTGTGGCAAGTTCTTAAAGAGATGGGAGTACCAGACCATCTTATTTGTCTCTTGAACCTATATGCGGGTCAAGAAGCAACAGTGAGAACTGGGCACGGAACCACTGATTAGTTCAAAATTGAGAAAGGAGTTCAGCAAGGCTGTATACTGTCGCCCTGCCTATTTAACTTATATGCAGAGCACATCTTGAGAAAGGCGGGGCTAGATGAATCACAAGTTGGAATTAAGATTGCTGGGAGAAATATCAACAACATCAGATATGCAGATGATACCACTCTCATGGCAGAAAGTGAAGAGGAACTAAAGAGCCTCTTGATGTGGGAGAAGGAAGAGAGTGCAAAAGTTGGCTTGAAACTCAACATTAAGAAAACTAAGATCATGGCATCCGGTCCTCTCACTTCCTGGCAAATAGATGGGGAAGAAATGGACAGATTTTATTCCCATGGGCTCCAAGATCACTGCAGATGGGGACTGCAACCAAGAAATTAAAAGACGCTTGCTCCTGGGGAGGAAAGCTATGGCAAATCTAGACAGCATACTAAAAAGCAGAGACATCACCCTGCCAACAAAAGTGCGTATAGTCAAGGCTATGGTTTTCCCAGTTGCAATGTATGGCTGTGAAAGCTGGACCATAAGGAAGGCTGAGTGCAAAAGGATTGGGGCCTTTGAATTGTGATGCTGGAGGAGACTCCTGCGAGTCCCTTGGACCGCAAGGCGATCAAACCGGTCACTCCTAGAGGAGATCAACCCTGACTGCTCTTTAGAAGGCCAGATCCTGAAGATGAAACTCAAATACTTTGGCCACCTAATGAGAAGGAAGGACTCCCTGGAGAAGAGCCTAATGCTGGGAACAATTGATGGCAAAAGAAGAAAGGGACAGCAGAGGATGAGGTGGCTAGATGGAGTCACTGAAGCAGTTGGTGTGAGCTTGAGTGGACTCCGGGGGATGGTGGAGGGGAGGAATGTTGTCCATGAGGTCGCGATGGGTCAGACTTTGTGACTAACAACAACAAACAATTCTTCATGTGGTTTGGACCTGCATGAAAATTGCAGGAATTGCTAAGTGGACAACTTGAGCAAGTAGAAGTTACACAGCAGCAATCACAACTCCAGAGCTCATTCATGAAGACCAGCTTATCTATTCTGATACAATATTGTGTTTACTGTTAAGGAAAGTGGAATGGGATAAGGAGACTGCACTATCTAAGGAAACATATGAAGGAGCAGAAGATAAATGGTGACCGAGAGCTATACCAAATTTAACTCTGAAGTCCAGTCCAAGAATGCGAAAGTTTTATTTATTGCATTTGTATGCTGCCCCATAGCCTGGGGCTCTCTGAGTGGCTCACAGGAAAACAGGAACAGCAAGTCAGCACAGCTATAATGAAATAAACACATCTAAAACCACATAAAATCCAATTAATGCAAGGCATAAAACAGGAAGTTAATATTACTGCTCCCATATGGTCTAGTGCAGGGGTCAGCAACCCGCGGCTCTGGAGCCGCACGTGGCTCTTGAACCCCTCTGCTGTGGCTCCGTCGCTCAAAACACACGCCGGCACAGCGGCTGATCTGCTCGAAGCTCCACTCAGGAACACCTCGCTAGCTGGTTAAGTAAATCAGCTAGTTAAGTAAATTGCTACATTCCTCTGCTAAACAAGCTTCCTGCAGGCTCTCATGTTACACAAAACATTGCTGAAAAGATTCTCTTTGTCCAAATGTAATCTTCATCTGAATGTTAAAAGCTGTGCTTGGGACCTGTCACAATTCACAGCACTTGACTGTTTATCTGCTAATCAGTCACTAAACACACCTATATCCAGTGCTTTTTTGTAAGAAAAAAGGTGCCTGAACTCATGAAATTATTTACCTTTCGTACGTAGTCAGTCACTGTACACACATCCACACGTCAGTTGTGTAACAAAACATAACAGTAAGCTCAGCGCGTGACCACACAACCAATCACAAGCCAAGCAGTGCCACAAGATGTGCAGTGCCATCACAACCAGTGCGGACGAAGTACTCATGCATCAGATTTGACACACAAACAGCCTGCATGCACCTTTTTAATGATTTTGCCGCTGACCTGCTATGCTTGACAGGGCGATTCAAATCCATGTGGACCAAACATCAAATTTTCAAAAGTTACTTTTAAAACTTGGAAAATCTGTTGAAAAACGGTGCTGGAACTCTGTTTCGGTGCGTTCTATGACAAAAAAAAACCTGCCTATATCTCTGGCACAGCCGCCGATCTGCGGACCTGCTCCAATTTACTGAGCCCCCCCTCCCCCGGTAGGCCAACCATGGATAAATTGAAGAAAAGTTTTGAAGAAAACCAAACCTTTAATGATACATGGGTAGATTCATTTGCTTTTACTGCTGACAAACTTATGATGGGGTTTGCTGTTTAATGCATGCAGCCCTTTAGCACTGACTTTGACTCTTCAGGAAGCTGTATTCAAAATATTCATATATTCAAAATATATGAAAGGAGCCCTACTAGTGTATAATGTTAGATTAAAAATAAGTTTTTAGTGACTGAACAAGAGCTGCATCTAAATCATAATGAAGATATACATAGCGTTAAGGTAAAAAACGATATATGCAGTATTATCTTCATTTTAAATGTCAAAAGGGTTTTGTGGCTCCTGGTGTTTTCTTTTGTGTGGGAAATGGGTCCAAATGGCTCTTTGAGTGTTAAAAGTTGCCGACCCCTGGTCTAGTGGTTAGGAGTCTTGGTTTTCACACAGGTGGCCTGGGTTTGACACTCGGTATGGCAAAGATGGACTTTTACTCTGTTCTATCTATACCTACAGTTAGTAGGTATTCTACTAAGTAGCTTTTGGTGTGAGAGTCAGTGTGGTGTAATGGTTAAGAGCGTGGGACTGAGACTCAGGCGATCTGGGTTCCAGTCTCCACTCAGCCATGGAGCCAACTGGGTGACTTTGGGCCAGTCAGACTCTCAGCCAGACTGGCCATTGACTCTTTCGGCAGTCCTGAGGATGAGAGCCAGTGTGGTGTGAGAGCCAGTGTGGTGTAGTGGTTAAGAGCGTGGGACTGAGACTCAGGCGATCTGGGTTCTAGTCCCCACTCAGCCATGGAGCCAACTGGGTGACTTTGGGCCAGTCAGACTCTCAGCCCAACCTACCTCACAGGGTTGTTGTTGTGGGGATAAGATTGAGAGAATTACGTAAGCTGCCTTGAGTGCCTTGAAAGGAAAAAGGTGGGTTATAAATATAAATAAATAACCTTGAATGTATTATGAGAGACTGTAGAATTCTGACTATAATCTATAATCTGTGGACACCAAAAGCAGGCCATGAAATAGGACACTACTGTTGTTCCCTGTCATGGTATTTAAGGAGAAATTCTCTTTTTATAGAAAACAGAAGTCCTACAGCTTCCAGAATTTTCCAGTTGGCCATGCTGGATGGGAAATGCTAGGAGTTGTATGCCTACTTAGATGGGGAAAAAGTTCTACAATTATGAAGCTTATGATTCTGCAGGTAGCATACTGCCATTATGACAAATTCCCTTTACTTTTAGTCTCCTTAAGTCATCCCAAGTTGTTGGTTGCCACATCACACAGTAACTAATTCCCAAATTTAACTAAGCACTTTGTGAAGGGGTACTCTCATTTTTTTCATCCTGACTAATCTCCCATCATCCAGCTTCAGTTAGGAGTTCCTCTTTAGTTTCAGCATTATTTCCTATTGCAGAGAAATCATTAAGATGGACAAGCTCACACAATGTCTTTTCCTGAGAAGTGATATGACCCCCGTCCTGTCCTGTCCTGTCCTGTCGCTGCAGGTTGAAACTGTTTGTGTAAGTGGCCCTAAGGAAGAGAATTCTATGCAACTGGTGCCTTCCCCCATTTGTCTGAGGTGGGACATTAATGCACGGTGAGGGTCACACTTTGGTTCTGATGTATTTAGGTTGGCTGGGAGGAGGGTTCTGAGGTGGGGGGGGTAGTTATTAACCCTATTACTCAATTTTCAGTGAGGTTTAGTACTGTGGCACAAGAACCCTCCAAATAGGGTGGGAGTCAGATTACAATACTCTACAGTGCAGAGTCTATACTCAGAGATCTGGTATGAACTGAGAGTGGAGATGACCACTCAGAAAATGACAGACAAAACTCTATTTTATTTCTTCAGTCACGATTTAAGTGATCTTAAAATGCAAAATTGTAAAACGCCTTAGACTTTTTTTTTTTTAGATAAAGTTGCCAAAGAGCTATGTTGCTCTAATACAGAATGAGGGTTTGAGGAAAGGAGAAAATGTTCTTCTCAACTTATGTGTAGCTATGGCCGTCCAACAAGACCACAGGATGCAGTTTTATACATGCTGAAACAAAGTCCATAAACGCGCATAGGATTGCACGCGAAGTCCAGCATTTCACCTGGAGCGCAGTTCAGATGGCTCCAAACTGCTTGTAGAAACCAACCAAACAACCGTCTCTGCCCGGCCCAGAAAAATAAGCAAAGAGAAAACAAACCCGAAGCCGTGTTTTCAAAAACACTGTGACGTTTTACTGTCGGTCGGATCGCCCGCCCTTGCCCGCGAGCTCCGCTCCAGCCCTGCTGCTCGGCGGCCCCGCCACCCACCGACACTCAGCCCCTTCTCGGGTGGGGGAGCCGGAGGCGCCTGCGCAGTGCGGACTGGGCCTGGCGGAGGGGCAGGCAGCGCGAGACGCGTTTCTGGGCCGGAGGCGCCGCCGCCGCCGCGCTTCTCTCCGCAGCGCAGACGCGCATGAGAAGGCAGCCGCCTGCTCCCTCTTCCGCGCGGGGACCTTCTGCGGCCGGCAGTGCCGTCATGTCGGAAAGGCTCAGTAAGCCTACGTGCCTCATTGTGGCCAGCGCGGCCGCTGCAGGTGAGGCCGGTCGGGCACGCTCCCTCGGCCGGGGATCCCCGCTCCGCCACGCCCTGCCCTGCCCTGCCGCGGAAGGGGCGCTGCGGCGGCGGCCGGCTCAAGAGAGCGCGGGCCTCCGGGCTCGCGTTGGGAGAACGGGCGTGGGCGGCGCTGGCCTTCCGCGCTGGGCTGGGCAGCGGGGCGCGCGGGAGGGGCTCGCTTGCGGGACAGAGCCGCCTCGGCGCGGCGCGGCGCGGCGCACCCGCACCCTCGCCTGCGCGCTGCTCGCCCCGCGGGCGCCCACGCAGAATGAAAGCGGCAGCCGGCAGGGGGGGCTGTTGGGGTGAGCAGCGTGTGGAGGCCCTTTGGGCCGCACCAGCAACACGACAGAGAGCCTCCTTAGGAAACGAGGAAACCTCAGTTTCAGCGGAAACCTGGAAATGCACGCCGTACCCCATTCTGCGCACTTTCTCCACCAGTCGGGTGCATTTCAGAAGTTTCGGGCTGCAGCATCCAGAATTCCTAAACGGCTGCTGGCTGGGAATTATGGGAGTTACGATCCAGCCCATTTGGAGCTCTCCTGGTTGAGAGATTGCTGTACTCACATAATAATATGTCTGTATTCGTAGTATTTATATACTGTTAAGTATAATAACCCTAAGCAGTGTTTTGTAATTTGGGTTTCTCTTAAGAGGAAAAAAGGCAGACTTTAAGTGCAGTGCAATACTGAGGAGGAGGAGGAGAATTGAAAGCCCTTATTCTTCCCATATGGAACTTGAATCAAACTGTTTGGATATAACATAAAAAGGCTAGCAGAACAGTTTTTAAACTGCACTAAACTGACAGGAGCTGGCATGTGTCTGGTTTTGGTTAAATCATTGAATGAAGTTGGAAAAGCTTTTGATCGATCAAATGTAGGAGGAGAGGAACTAGGCCATGAGAATGTGGTGAAACATACTAATCAGTCAAAGAGGCCTAATCATCAAAATAGAAATTGCACCTGCCAGAAACTTCTGGAAAACAACACTGCATATACTGATTTCTAGGTGAATGTTTAGAACCTCCAAGCCAAAACAGGAAGGCCTAAATATAGTGGGCATTACAAAAACCTGGTGGAGCCTGGTGGGATACCAGTCATCTGAGACTTGAAAATCTGAGACTTCCACAGAAACACTATGAGTGGCAAGACTTGGCTCCACAGCTAATTTTGTCCTAGGAATGCGCTATCATTTTCCAGACCAAAATGCTCAGGATAATTTTGAGATGGAAATGAAATGAGGGAGGCATCCAAATGAGGAATAATGGGTGACAACTAGATAAATGCACACTTCAGTTTCACTGAAGAGGTTAAATTTTTCTCCATGTGCTAAACAATTGTGCCATAGAAGAGCTGCTCATGGAACTGACCAGGGGGGAGCCGATCCTGGACTTAATCCAGTGTGTGGGATTGTCCAGGACCCAATATAAGATGTAAATCTTGTTGAATTGATTAGAAATAGTGACCACAGTGCTATCAGATTTAACAGATATTTAAGTGGAAGATTACCAAAGAGGTCTAACATAGTCACATATATTTTTAAAAGAGGAAACTTCTCTAAAATGAGGAAACTAGTACCAAGAAAGTTGAAAGGGGGAGTCAACGGGGTTAAATCTCTTCAAAATGCATGGAACTTGCTTAGATACAATACAAGAAGCTCAGACAGCATATATACCACAAGTTAGGAAAGTCAGCACAAAGTCCTAGGAATATGTTATCTTGGTCACTCACATTAAGGAGCAGCATTAAGGACGTTATTAGAGTAAGAAGATGATCCAGCATGACTCTTCTAATATTCTGAAGAATATGCAGTTTGTTTTGCCTGGATCTGACAATTTTACTTCATTTAGTCATTTGACTAGTTTATAATCCTGTATCCCTCTGCATGTTGTTAGATTTCTGGCATTTTTCTCCTTTCCTGGATCTGCAAATGTGGGTTACAGCTTATACTACTCTCTTGGTATTGGTATGTTCTGCCTATTTTGGTTTGTATGCTTGAGGCAACCAGCATTATTTTAAATCTATTTGCTATTTTTGTAAAAGTCAGTGAATATAAAAAAGGATGTGTATTATGAAATTGTCCCTTGAAGGAATAAAATTATTACCAAGGAATAATTAGTGAATATTGTGAAAAATGGTCACTTAAACAACAACCACAATGATGTTTTATTCCTGTTCACCAGGGGTATCTGCTGACTCCTTCCTTCATTCGTTTACACTGGCAAGTTCTGCTTTCAATCTGCAGGTTGCTACTCCAGGGGTAAGGGAGATTACCTGTGAAATACAGCTTGATTTTGAGAAGTACCTGTGTTAGACTTACTTAGAACAAGCAAGAAGCTACAAAAATCATGCGGGACAGTCTTTTCCCAGTGATCTTTGTATGTGAAGGGGGGGCTTTGGCTTTGGAAACATTGTCTGGGGGCTGTTAGGCCTAGAACATGTCTTCAATGCTCTCACCATTTTTCCTTTGGCAAACCAGGGTTGGAGGGGGGTTCACTGAAGCCTTTGTTGCTGCAACAACCATTGTGTGTGTGTGGGGGGGGTGGTTCGGGGTGTGGGGGACTGGGCTGTAAGGATACATCGTACAGGGACCCAGGAATGTTTCATTGCCAGAAGGGTTTTGTGCAAGCGTAAATCAGACTCCCAAGATGGCTGTCATCTTTTGTTCAGTAGTAACATATTGGCATATAATAATAATAATAATAATAATAATAATAATAATGGTATTGTTCATTAAATCCTTCCTATGTAAGAACTCTTGCACTTCACTTAGAAGGCTTGCTGCATGTATGTGCATTAATTGGGCTTTGAACTATAATTGCTTTAGGGAAAGTCAATTGATTTTACTGGTGTTAATGAGACGAACATGCGTTGGATCCAGGACTTCCGTATGAAATCCTATGCAAATCCTGCTAAGCTGGAATCAACTGATGGTGAGGGCTATTTTGACTTGCAACTCAGTGCCGTTTTTGTTTGTTTGTTTGCATGAACAGTGTTCTTACCTTCCTGCTGTCAGTATAAATGCAATCCTTTAACTTTATCTCTTTATTCCTGTTACTTCAGAGTAATCTTTTCTAAATGGCCCAGAATGCTTTGGCTATAGCCAGTATAGTAATTTAAGAATGATAACAGGAACAACTATTTTTCTAATATTGTTAGGGAAGAACTCATTTACTAGAGTCTCAAGGTTTTGATCATCCTTGTGAGAAAGAGTTCCTGACTGGATTCATACATGATGGACAAGGAATGAGGCATTCCTTGATCTTCTCTCTTCTTAAAAATAAAAAGGGTCTGCTTTCACTTTTAATTAATCATATGTCCCTATAATGTTCAAACTTGGAGAAATCTAGCTTATTTAAATTATGGTGAGAACAAACCAGAATCAAATCTGGTTTTAGATCCTGGCTTGTTCCCAAACCATAGTTTAAACAAGTCTGATTTATGGGAAACTGATTAGTTTAAATTCCAAGGCTTTTCACTCTTATGAATGAAGAGTCGGACGGTGCCTGAGCCCAAGATTCACTATTGTGTCTGAACTGAGCTTCTTTTTACCTCTCAGTGGCTGCCAGATCATCCTCAGAAATCACATTTTCTCTTGGAACAGTTGGAGGAAGAGATGAGCAGTTAGGAAGCAGGGTGGGGGTGCAAAGGGATAAATAGTTTTGTTGAATGGACTTGAGGCACTTCATCACAGGATAGCATTAAAATTGATTTTAGGGAAGCAGGATGTAATCTCTGCTTTGTAGGAGATTAATTTACTGTGACTGACAACTGGAGGAGCAAATGAGGTAGCACAAAATACTTTAGAGGAGCATCACTCAATTATTCCTAGGGAGTCATTTGTACATTGCTGTCAAATTTGATGAGCCTTCAGTTAGTTCCAGAATGAATGGAAGAGAGCGTGTCATAACCAGACTATCTGCACTTTGATTGTGCTTTCTATCAAGGGGCCAGATATCATGCTGTACTGATTCCTGACTGTCCTGGTGCTATGACAGACCTGGCAAACAGTGGTTACTTAGCCAGAATATTGCAACATTTCAGCTCTGAGAAAAGTAAGTAAACTTCTTGGAGGATTTATCCTTTATATTTGGAACCTTTTGTACAGCTTAAGCTAGGAAGTATGAAAAAAGATGCTATATATAATGCGGGTCACTATTTCAGATCAGTGTGGAAGCCCCAAAGTCTTTAAAGAAATATTATTGTGAATATGGGTAGCAGCTTGCTGTTCGGTTTAATAACAATGGAACTGCTGAGCCAGTTCACAAGTGAGCGGTGCGAATGCATAGTTAAGATGATGTTTTCGCACGTGTATTGCTCACACTGGAAGCAACAATATTGTGTTTCCTTCGCCATCTTTTTACACAGGCCATTCCCACAACTAAATTTTACTGTAAGTCAAATCACATTATTTAACATTGAGCCTCTTAATGCTCCTGGTAGTGGTTGCATATCTTAAATGCAGCACAATCTTATGATGTCCGCTTGGGATTAAGTTTCTGTGAGTCCAGTAGGCCTTACTCCCAGAATTGCAGGTATGGGATCACAGTCTTCTTTCCTTCCTTCCTTCCTTCCTTCCTTCCTTCCTTCCTTCCTTCCTTTTGCATGCCCCCATCGCAGAAAGCCTCGGTGCGGCTTACAAAGCGGATAAACAAACATAGATAGACATTAAAAATTTGGAGCATCTCAGCAATAGTTTAAAACCAATACATAAAAATAATTAACAATTAAAATATCATTTAAATAAAAAGGTCTTGGCCTGGCGCCGAAGAACAAATAACAACGGCACCAGGCGGACCTCTCTGGGGAGCGCATTCCGTAGGTGGGGCGCCACCGCAGAGAAGGCCCTCCTCCTGGTACTCACCCTCCTAATATCCTTCACAGAGGGCTCCCAGAGAAGGGCCTCCTCCACCGATCTCAGGGGGCGGGAGGGCATATATGGACGCAAGCGCTCCTTTAGATAGTCAGGTCCCAAGCCGTTGAGGGCTTTATAGGTGATAACCAACACCTTGAATTGGGCCCGGACTTCAATGGGGAGCCAGTGAAGCTGATGGAGAACTGGGGTCTTACAGTCTTACAGGTACTTTTGCATTCAGCTGGGTGGGAAGGAATAATGTTACCTAGTGATCATTTTTGGGGTGTTATACTGAGTTTTTTAGGCAAAGTTATTTCTCTTTGAAGAGCCCATTTGTGCTGTTGGACATGGAGTTGCTGCCTTATGCTGTGCCACAAATGAGGACAAGTCCTGGGTATTTCAAGAATACAGCTTAACGGGGGTAGGTGTGTATTTAAACTAACTGCAGACTCTTCATCTATGGCTTTTCTTAAAACAAGAAAAAACATTCTGCAGAGACATGGCCTGCACCCAGATTTATGTGTGGTTGGGTTTCCCATAATACAGTCTCAGATCTTCCCTAACCCTCTTGTGGTGGCTCAATGTTTTCTGTGAAGCTTGATATATGCTTATTGGCATTTAAATTAGGGTGACCCTAGCTAAGTGACAAGTTTGTTCAAGTATTTAAATAGTTCAAGTATTTAGGTACTTGAACAAACAAAACTGCTTTACAGGCCATAAGCTCTCAGAGCTGGTTAGAAAAAAAAATCACAGGGCACTCAAGATAAAGTTATAACTACTGTACAGTTTTACTTAGCAAAATGTTAGGAACCAGCTCCTAGTTCTGTAGTTGAAATATACACATTTACTAGAAAAAAAAGAAGCATGCTGAAGAAACATGGGTTATTGCAGGCATGGGCTCACTTTGGCCAGCATTGTCTTTAGCTAGATTCTTGTGGCCTACTGGCTCTACATCGTGTAACAGTTAAAGTATAACTAATCCTTTATCCTGAGTATGTGTTCTTTGTTAGGAAATGCCTTGCTGGGTCAGATGAAGGTTTATGCATTCCTGCATTCTTTGTACAAATCCAAGCAACTGAGAGGTGCTGAGTGGCTAGTTGAATGTAATTATCCTCTGTAGAGGTTTTACAACATTGCAATGTAAGTATGTTGCCTTTAATTCTTTATGTTCTCTTTTATTTTCTAGCCCTGTGTCTATGAACTAATAAGGCTACCTAATTTTACTAGTTTGCCCATTATCTTTGAGGATTTTGCGAAAGATTCTGGAGCTGCTTTCAGTGGTATGTCACTTTAAGATTCCTGCCATAGCTTTTTTTAAAACTGATATTTGATCACCATGAGCAAGATGACAAAGGATTGGTCATACTGAATTCTGGTAAAGTCTGACACTTTGCAAGATGAATTGGCATTTTAAAAGTTTTGCAAAATAATTTTTCATAGCATGTAATGGTAAAAATGATACACAAGGAATACAAAGTTGGGTTTATAGATCTGGTGAAAACATCTTCCATGCCCTGGGGCCATCTGTTAATGTCACAGCAAAATATGGCAGCACTAATATGGAAGCCATATTAGTTCAGCATTCTGCCAGTTTAGTGGAATGACTTAGATTATTCCTGATTAAATCTAGGGAGCATAATTCTGGTAATGTTGCCTCTGACCTTTCCAGCAATAAAATAGGGAAGGAGGTAGGTAATCTGGTACTGTCCAGATGTTGGGCTACAACTCCCATCATCCTTTGCCATCAGTCGTGCTGGATGGGGCTGGTGAGAATTGTAGTCCCCAATTCTGGAGGGCACTAGGTTGCTCACCTTGTGATAGGTATGGAAAAGCTGCTCAAATGCTTGAAGATGACTTGGTGGAGAGCCCTCTAGTGGCCATTGTAACATGTATACATTTGGGTTAATTGTGGTCCATATATCATGAAATAGCACAGCTTCGCAGCATTGAATTGAGTGGTATTTTAAAATAGATGCTAATTTTGTGTCAGTAGCTTTATATGTTGATGCACAAATATTACATGACTTTGCCTACAGGCATCTTCTTTGTGTTTGAGCAGCTACTAAGACTTGATTCAGATTATCACAGTTCTATTGCATGGTTTGTGTCATCTTCCCCAACCTGGTGCTTTGCACTTCAGTACCCATCAGTCCCTCACCATCATGTCCAATATCCTGGTGCTTCCTTGCCATATGCTTTGGACTTCAGCACCCATCTGTCCCCAGCATCATGGCCAAAGGTCAAGAATGCTGAGTTGTAATCCAAAACATTTGGAGTGCATCATGTTAGGAGGAATCTGGTTTAGGTTATTACAAATATGCATGGCAAGCCTTAGGTTCAACCTTCTCCCAAGGCTCCATCAACAAGACAAAAGATTAAACCACATAGGAAGCTTTCACTGCTCCCCTGTACCCAAAGGGGAGTGGAAGTGTGCAAGCCTAAGGTTCAGTGTGGTTCAGCTGTGCTCATCTAAACTACCCTTTCCACAGCCTCATGTCCTTCAGGTATGCTAGACTCCAAGTGTTCTTAGGAAGGGTGGCCAGTGGATGAGGATGGTGGGTATTTTAATGAATAGAGTATTCATTGTAATAATAGTGGGCTGTACAAATTCTAAAGAATTAAAAAGTTTGAAAGCAAAATATATTTATCCTGTTAGGGAAATGAAGGAGTTTTAAATCACTGATTATGAGCAGCAGTGAAGAAAACATGCAGCTTTATTTGGGTATTAGAGAAACAAGGTAAGTTATGATATGTAAGCTAAGACATACATTTGTGTGTGTGTGTGTCTTCTAATACAGCCAGCAAAGTAGATGCAATACATGTAGTGTTGGACAGACACCTTGTCACTGGGCAGAATGAGAATTCTACTGTTGCAGCTGTACAGAATCTTGTTTTTCTCTGCAATAGCAGGTAAGAGAAAGTAGGAGAAATTGCTAATAAAACATCTGGTAATAACTCCTGGGATTTGTGCTTGTGTGAGCAGTTCCCATATTTATAAATCCAGTATAGCAAGCCTTGATAGTTACTTGGGATGTTTATATTATGAAAGAATTCTTTCTTTATATTATGAAATAATTAAAGGGGTTAGGAAAACAATTTTTTTAAGAAAACAAGAATTAAGTATTTGAAATACTAAAAATCCAAGGATTACAAGTACTAGTTAGTCATGTTTCCTTTTAAACAGTGTCACAAATAAAAATCTCCCCCCCTTTTTAACAGTATGGGCAGGTTCATATTGAAGCTGCATGGTGTGGTTTGTTTCCACAGTGAGTCCAACAGATGGTCAGGCTTGCTATGTTTTGTTCTCCCCAGTCTTCCAACTTATATTCCAGTGTCCTTTGTGGCAGAACCTGTCTTGTCTCTCCTTTCCCACTCTAAGTGCTATTCCTTTTCATTTTCTGCTTTTCTCAGGTCTTCAGAAATGTGCATGGGGGTGTTTTGGGTTTCATTTTAGTCAGGAATGCAGTTGCCAGGGGAAACTTGCACCCACCATTTTGGTATCACTTCTTTTCCACTTTTTAATTTACAACTAGGCAATTGGTCCCCAGCAGTTGTGCACAAATTTCCCTATAGACAGCTATGAATTAGCTCCTGCACATTTCTCAAAGCCCCTCCGCCCCAAAAAAGTTATAAGTATAATTGCACCCTTTGTTTTTAAAGGGTGACAGATCAAACAGCACTTTGGAACATTGATGAAGGGACTGCCACTGGTAGCAGCATAGGAAAGTTTGCCGCTCCTGCCAGGTGGCTTAGTAGCAGAACCCTGCAACCTGCAATAAAATTACTTTCCAGGTTTGGAAAATATGTCAACTAATTGTGGATCATACAATCCCTAGAACAAGCCATGGTTTGTCAGAGTAGGCTGTTTCCCAAGCATAAACCACCCTTTGGGAAGCAGTTCTGGCTCAGAAGATACGACAAACCATTGTGGCTAGTTACCTGCTTCCTGGGTGGACGGGTGGCACAGCTCTAGCAAAGTATTATTGTGCCTGTCAAGATAGAGATCTAGATGTTTAAATGTAAGCTGCTGGCTACCGTGATCTAACATGTCATGTTTCTTTCAGCAGAAAATGATGGAAGAAGCTATGTAAATGGATGAATACAGACTTGTTTGGCTTGAGAGATGGGACATGAGAACTTTCGTGGCAACTTGTGGAAGAGAATGCCAGTATATTCTAAAGATGAGACTATTAATACTTTGAAAAAGAGCATCTTGATGGGCTGGTTTATATGATCAAGCAACTGCTGGGACTTCTTATTGCAGCATGGGAAGGCAGCATCTTTGAATATTCAAGCTGTTCCTTGTCAGGTAATCCATACCTAAGAACTATGGGGTATGTTAAGATTAAACCACCCCTCAGATAACCTTAGAATAGGCAACAGGTTGCGAAGGTCATTTAATTCTCAGCTTCCTGGTTGACAATAACATGACAAGTTGCGGCCTGAATATTCAGAATGGCCAATAGTCATGATGAGCTAAAGTGATCATGCAAACCAGGGGGCATCGATGGAGGGGCTGTCACTGGTAGCAGCATGGGCAAGTTTGTTTCAGTGTGCGAAACCTGAAAACTGCAGAACCACAGTAATGGTTTTTTTCTTTTGAAATGTACATCTGTAATACAGACCCTTAAGCCCGGTTAAGTCATAACAAGGACCCATGAAATTGAAATTCCGTTCCAAGAAGCAGATGTGCCAGTGTTATTGAAAGGCACAATTCCCCATGTGCCTTCAGAATCTGCCCAGTGGGCAGAGATGTCCTCTGGAGCAGATTTTGGGTGATCCAGGGTCTAAGAAGGGTCCTGTCCTGTTGGATTCTGCTAGTATCAAGTTGTTAAATTTGCCTACACATTTGCACAACAGAGGAAGCGATGGGAAATTTAAGTGGAAGCTTTCAAATCAGGCAGTCCTCTGCAGTGTTTCAACTTGTTTAGCTAGATTCCCATTCTGTGTGAACTTGACTTAGCTGTCATCCATGATAGCGTCTGTGTGGCACTTGTTTGCATGTGTGGTAATCTAACTTTTAAACAATGTTATGGAAAAAAATGTTAGTTTCAGTGCTACATTTTCAGCTAGTTTTGAGTTAGATTTCAGCCTCTGATACAGTATTAAAATTATTTGCAGTCTATAGTAAGCTTCAGTCCAGTCTCAAACTAGTCTCTTTTGAGACCTTTTCAATAAGGGTTTTTTAAGGAACTAGAATGATTAAATACAAAGTTATTTTAGGGCAGGTTGGCTTACTGAGCTTTCCTCTCCACCACCCAAAATTGTATTTTCGTTCAAGCATGTTTATAACCTCCCACAGGATTGTTATAATACAACAATTGCAGTAAGTACTACAGGAAAAAAATTATGGAATTTATTCATTTATTATATAATTTCCCATTTTGCTTTTGAAATAGAAAATCATAGGCAAAATGAAGGCTTCTTACTAACAGTGTTTAAACTAAAATCTACAAGCCCCATTACTTGCCATAACCTGCCTGTTAAAAAAAGGAAAAAAAGTTGTAGAACTCCTTCTCCCTTTATGTTTATGTTGTTCAGGATGCTTGTGTGTGCATTTTGAAAGGGAAATATCCTATAAATTTAGGCACACCCAACAGAATTTTCCAGAAAAGCGTTAACAACAAAATTTAGCACAGATAAGACAGAATGGGTTACGCCTTTGCTCAGTCAATATTCTTGCCCTTTGTTTCAATGCTATGACGAAACATTAAAGAAAAACCTCTATCTTCACTGTGCTCAAGCCATCAGTCTTAACTTGCAAGAAGTGAAGCGGCACCTATGTCTAAGCCACCATTCCTCAACCTGGGTGTCCCTGATGTCCCCAGATCTCATGAGCCTGAGCCCACATGGGTCACGTACAAGAATGGTGGCACATTCTTGAAGCAGTCAGAGGAGGTTAGTAAAGATTTCTGCTGCAAGAGGCATTCTGCTTTTATCCTGGTTGGACTGCAAGAACACAGAGAAAGTAGTCTTTTTATGTGTGGTTTCTGGTGGCTGTATGAGCAGCACTTTCCAGTCCTGCTGTAATTCAAAAACATACTTGCTTTTGGAGTCAGAATGCTTCTTAATTTTGGATTTGCTTTGAAATTTACTTTAAAGCTTGGGCAGTTACTAAAGCTGGTCCTCAGCAGCTAAGTCCTCTCAGTCGGTGTGTATTGATTGTAGCAGCTAAGCCCTTAGTTGGGAGGTTACTATAATTCAGCTGCTCGAGTCTGATGAACACATTTGTTTCGCAAGCTTCTGCCATATAGATGGGGACAGGATTAAAAATGGTGACTAGTCTCTTACAATAACTTATATGTTTGCTGAATTAGCACACAACTGCATATGACAGTATACAAAGTGCTGTTTCTATGCAATGTCATATATAATTTACTACAGATAGGGAAGTGCAAGGAACACGGGTTGGGGGGCGGCGGTTATGTGTGGAATTCTAGCTCAGCCCTCCAGATTCCATTCTGTTTCCTCCATGCTGGTGTCAATTCAATCTGATGTGAGTTTAACCAGAATGTAGATTTCTGATTTTAGAATAGGGTGAAAATTGCACATTTTAAAATAAAGTTCATATAATTTGTGCAAAAAACTTAGAAACTGCACAAATTTGAGGCTTTCACAGGGCCATCCTGACTCAGGCTGGTTGCCCTGCTTCCTCTTTGCCCCCCCCCCCGCCGCCCCTAAGTCATAAATCCAGCAATTGTATCATCCTAAACCAATGCAATAAACAGGATTTCTCAGAACAAATTACTGAAAGGAATCAGGTACTGTATGTGAAATATTGGTGGAAGAATAAAGGAGCAAGAAGAGTAACAAAATCACAACTCAGTTGGTGCAAATCATTGGAGCGAAAAATAACTGAAAATAATTTTTAACTGTCTGTTTGCATAAATCACATAATCATAGCAGAAAACTATGGTGCCAGTGCTGATCTTGATGAAACTGAGAGTGACAGGTTCCTCGTGAAGTACGGAATATGGCAACACACTACTAAGAGGATGAAATTGGCAAGAATATTTCTCAAGGAAATATGCTGTGCCTGGGTTAGATAATGGACTTGCATGATAAAATATTAAAAACAGTGTTAACTCATTTATGCAAATTTAAATATTCGGGTGCAATTTGCACAGATTACCATTTGTGCAAATGGTGCTGCAAATACACAGTTCTCAATGTACACCACTATTTTGTGCACATTCCCAGATTCCAAAAGAACAAATCTGGCATAGTTCATTTACAATTGCCAGACTGGAACCACATGGAAATCTATAGGGCTCAGTGAAATGGATTTCCAGCATCACACACAGCACTGATGCAACTAAAAAGCCATCTCTTGAAAGGCATGTACATCCTACAGAAGATTTTGCTAATCTGATAAGAACAGACTTTTGTTCACACAATCGTGTACACACTACTAGTTCAATCAGCATACCAAGCACTACCTTGCACAAACCACAGCTTAGGAACCATATTATGGTTTTGAATTTCCAAATATACATGACTGCTTATCTCCTTAATTGCCCATCTGCTCAGTATTTCTGGCTGTAGGGGATTTAGAACTCTTAAGAGGTGACGTGATCGTCCCAACTATGCTTTGCCAAGTCAGGCATCATCTTAAATTACTGAACTGTTGAAAAGACATTTCAACTCATGGTTTTTCAACTGAGAAATCATGCCAAACTGTAACTAATGCTCCTTAAATCATGGCATGGTAAGATGTCTGAAATGAACCACTAGGATTCAAATCCATTTACTACAATCGGGTTATTAATCTATGCTTTTTTCTTTCTTATGGAAAAAGTTTCTTCTTCAGTGCTTGTGATGCTAAGTATAACATTCCCAATTTCATAAAAATTTCTTGCACTGCTTCCCTTCAAATTTAAGACATGGCTCAGGAGGAATGAAAGGTGTCATTCCTTTGCTGGAAATGGGAATCAAGCATAGTACCTACTATAGTTTTAAGGTATATGTAGTAAAAGCATTAATATACTAGATATTTTTATTATCAATACCACATTGGACAAATACTTCTGATCAACTGGTCCTTGTCATCTGCAATTTACAGTCCTACTGGAAAATAACTGGTTGTATTCTCCAACCACTGAATCCCCACAAGGAATGTTGATATATAAAAATTCCACAAACATTAAGAATATTTTCCTTTTGCAAGGTCATACAAAAAGCCCGTATTACATAAAATCCATTCATATGCAATATGTTGATATTTATACATTCACACAGCACCCATGAAGATTGGTGTGTCTACTTTCCATTTGCAGCACTGAACATTCGTTCCTACGAAACAGAAGAGAGGAAAAAAGTCACTCTTTTACCAAGTGCTCTTAATCACATGAATCATGATCTACCCATCAAGCTAGCCTACCCTAGCGATGAACCACAGTGAAATGGTTGTTGTGTGAACAAGCCTGTCAAGCAGTCAGGCTTACTGCGGGTTGTTTGTCCCATGCCTCTTGCTTGGTGCGCCTGCTGGTATCCTGGGGCCTCCATAGCAGGACTGACTTAGCTGCTCCCTCCGCTATGATTATGAAAGCTTTTTCACTGCTGCCCCTTTTCACCTCCCTAAGTTTTCTTTTTTAAAGATACCAATCTCCATTTTGACAACTAGTGACACCTCCTTCAAGGTTTGGCAAACATGGCAAACAGTTTTTGCTGCTCCCGCCAAGCCACTTGCTAATTTCTGTCTATGATAGGTACAGACATGACAAGCCATTATGAGTAAAAGAACCCCAAGATTAATTCATGGGTTCTCAGGGTGGCTTGCTATCCACAGAAAAGCCACCTTGCAAGATAGGGTTCGAGTTTGTATGAGACAATAACCCTCCATGGCTTGTCACCCACACTGAGTTGTAATGTTGTGCAAACCAAGCCATTAAAGTCTAGTCCAGGGGAGTTCAGTTTTGAATTGATACTCAGAACACACCTTGGTTCTGAATACATTTGCAAAATTGTGAGAGAGGTTAGCATTACATCATGTGCACAATGTTGCACTTTCCGTCTTGATGCAAAAAGGCAAACACATACATTATCTGTGGCCAGTCCTGACAATATTTTCTCTCTCACATGAGTCTCAATACCTCATAACATGTAGGAACCACAACATACAACTAAAGCTTTATATGACAAAATTTTATTAGGAGCTTCACATTTCACCATGTGAAAGGATTTGGGAGGCAGTTGTGTATCAAGATAAAAGATTCTTAATTTTACCTTTATCATCTGTTCCAATTTAACCGCATCAGCAGCAAACTTTCGGATCCCCTCAGACAATTTCTCTACAGCCATTTGGTCTTCATTATGGAGCCAACGGAATGTCTTCTCATCCAGATGGACCTTCTCTAGGTCAGAGGCCTGGGCTGCATTGAGAAATATGGGGAATTACTATTCAATATTTATATAGCTGCCAAAGCTTCACCTAGAGAACAGCTGTCAGTGCATATCCAACTGTCCCGATTGTCACTGCAGTCCAGCTCTACACTGCTCTGGCAGGAAATGCTTCTCTCAACTACCTTACAGAAACCAAACATCTAGTCAAAGTTCAAAACACTTAGTGAGAATTTCATTGCTTATTAGTATTATGCTTTCAGTCCCACAGTAGGTAGTACTACTTATTATTGAGCAATAAGCTATCTAACCACCCTTTGGGGAATTCAGTGCTCCAGATATGAACCAACAAGGGCATTGTGGAAAACAGTTATATAAAATGTCATTGCTTTTTATATAGTAGGGCTTTCCCAAATTCTTCCATCAGTATGCTGTGTTTAATTACTGTGACAGATTTTATAAAGGCACATTCCTATTGCCCTCATAAACCTCCAAAATTGGAGACTTACAAGCATCCAACACACCATATAAGCATGTTCCCCTTTTCCTTCTCTGAGGTTCATTTGTGACCACAGGAAGAAGGCAGCTGACATGGTTCTATCCAAGCTGGCTGCAAGGCTTGGCTTTTGGTATCCCATGTACAGGGTCACAGCATCTCAAAAGTGGGGATTCAAAGAATCCTATGACTTCCTAGATGTCGTTGGGAGGCCATAGGGTTGTGCCCTAAGAGTTCTTGAACTAGAAGCATCAAGAACTCTAAAAAGACATCTTCAGTAGTAGTACAACAAATGAGCTAAAGTACTTATAAAGAAGAAGTTCAACCTTGCACACTGTGAAGGATGATATTAAAGGGCTAATGCTGGACTGTTATTCTACTGAACCATCTTTATTAGACTAATATCATATGTTAAAGCACAAGATAACATACCATCTTTGACACTGAGTACTGGTGTTAGCTTGCTGCTATCTTTACTGAGCTCTCCCAGAAGCTTGGGTGAAATGGTAAGATAGTCACAACCAGTCAGTGCTTTGATTTCTCCAGTGTTTCGAAATGAAGCTCCCATCACAATAGTTTTATAACCAAATTTTTTGTAATACTTGTAGATTTTAGTGACACTTTGCACCCCTGTGAATGAATAGAGGTAATATTAAAAAAGCAGTTTTAGGCAGAATGATTCAGTTCTGCAGAAGCTCTCAAACCTCAGTTCTCCTACTTTTTGTTTTGCATCCTCCTTTGGTTTTTTAAGTTTGTAAATTAATTTTACAATGTAAAATACATTTCAAAGAAAAAATTACAATTAAAATAGAAACATACAGCATCAAGTATGCAATTAAAGGAAATCATAAAAGACATCATGCATCCCACCACTGGGACCACTGGATATATGTTACAAATACTTTCAAAAGTTCTGTCAAAAGGCTTCATCCCCCTTCCAAAACTGTAATGACTCTTGTGAAGGTTTGAATCCCTTCCCTTTTTAAAACACATAATCTAGAAATAAACCCCACATCTCATATAAACATACTTTTTCTTTATATATCCTTTTCTCACTTTAATATCATAAGTTAATTTATCATTAACAGCTATTTTCCAAACTTCTCTATACCAATCACACAATTAAGAATATTTTACTTCCCAGTTCTTTGCTATATTAATCTTGCAGCTGTTATTAAGTTTGTTACTAATTCTTTAATATTCCAACTCCATTGTTTCCTATCAAATATGCAAAGTAATGCAATCTCAAAGCATATTTCAATATTTAAACTTAGTATTTTACTGCTCCCTTTAAAACATCCATTCTCTTCTATTAAGTTACCTGGGTCCTCGAATGGCTCATAGACTTTTTTGTCTGTGTTTGCAACATGCCAATCCAGAATACGCCCAACGAAAGGAGAAATAAGGGTGACTCCTGCCTCTGCGCAGGCAACAGCCTGAGCAAAGGAAAACAGTAGTGTCAGGTTGCAGTGAATCCCATGCTGCTCTTCGAGGATCCTGTAAGAGAGATGGTTTCAGGGCAAAATAACTTTCTCCAACAATTATGCTTTCATTGATGAAGAAAGATTGGATACAAAATTGCCCTCCTATCATCTTGAGAGCCAGTGTGGTGTAGTGGTCAAGAGCTGGGACTGGGACTCAGACGATCTGGGTTCTAGTCCCCGCTCAGCCGTGGAGCCAACTGGGTGACTTTGGGCTAGTCACAGACTCTCAGCCCAACCCACCTCACAGGGTTGTTGTTGTGGGGATAAGATGGAGGAGGAGAATGATGTAAGCTGCCTTGAGCCCTTTGTAGGAAAAAGGCAGGATATAAATTGAAAAATAAAAATAAAAAAATAAAATCTTACTGCATTTTAAATTTATTTATTTATTTATTTATTTATTTATTTATTTATTTATTTATTTCAGGCATTTATATCCTGTCCTATCGCCAAGTGCTCAGGACAGCTTACAAATGTATAGGTAAACAATTACTTAAAGCTCCACGTCTAGAAGAAGCACTAACTTTTAACATTAGAAATGAGGTTCAAGGGTTCCATTCTGAAGAGGGGCAGAGCAGTTGATCCTCACTGACTGGCCATTGTAGAACTGCATCAGGCATGAACTTACTTGGCTGCCTGGATGCCCTCCCACGTTGATGACAACTTGATGAGGATGCGATCTTTACTAATTCCTGCTTCCTTGTAAAGGTCTATGAAGTGTCTAGCCCTCTTAACCATGCCTTCCTTGTCAAAAGACAACCTTTAAAATAAAGTCATTAAAAACATTTTTAAAACTTAAGTTTTTGACTTTAGTTCATTGCAGTAATGTTAGCAGTATTCTTCATGAAACAGAAGCTATGATAAAGTTTATTTAGAAGGGAGTATGGTTCTATATAATCAGCAAGTCACTCCAGCATTATTGTGCCTTTGCAAGTTTGTATTTTCTGGGATTATCTTGTCCATTTAAATAGAATAGCACAATGTTATGAGTGAAATATAAAACAAGAAGAAATCACAGTGAATATTCCATTTTGAACCACCTTCAGAGTAATGCAGCTTTATAAGTGGGAGCTGAAGGTGCCCAGAAATGATGCCCAATAAAGATCCCCCTTGTTTCGTAAGAACACATACAGAAGAGGTGGCCTAGTGGGAGGGAGTACACAGTAGAAATCTCTACTGAACACTCTCTGAAGGGAAGCACAGATTGAGAGCAAAGGAGGGAAGGCATGAAAGTGCCTCAGCCAATGGGGCACAGCAGGGAGAGGCAGCCAATACACAAAGCACTTCTAAGGAGTTGGAGGGGGTGGATGACAGAGAAGCATGAATGAATGAAACCTGCTGGCTGTGCAGGTGAAGAAAGCACCTAATAAGAAACAGAAAGGGGCAGTTTTATTGCGTTAATTACAAAAATTAGCACAGGCTGGTGCCAGCTGACATGGGACTGGGAAACTTTCTTTTGGGAAAGAGCAAAAGCAAAACACGCCCCCCACACACAGTGGATTAACAGTAAAAAAGGCCGCTGACATAGCAAGGGATTGCAGAATGCTGATTTTGCTACAAAGGCATACAGGGGAAGACTGGGCATGAAACACACCATGACAAGCCACAGAGAAGCTGACCATTTCTGCCCCATTATGGTAAGGAAAATGTATCAAGGGTAGTTTGTAGGGGTGGTTTAACATGACATGCAAACCCACCCAGGGTGTATGTGCTCCTCCTACCACTCTGTTGTTATTAAAATTATATCCTGCCTTTCCTAGAAATTATCCAAGGCAGTAAACTTTTACAAAGTTATATCAACATCAAACAGCAAGATACAAACATATTCCATAGAAGAGTAACAAAGCAGAACCAAAATAATTAACAAACAGCTTAAGCGTGGGCTTGCAATCCTCCTGTTGTTTTTCTAAAAAGCAAGACTAATACCATATAGCAAAAGACCACTAAAGATACCAAGGCCCCCCTCTCTCTAGTCCAGGCTTCTGAGTCAAAAGAATACAAGAAGATCTCCACAGATGAGCTTACCAAGCAAGCACATGCATATTAGAGAAGGCAGTCCTTTATCTGAAGATAGATATTCAGCTGCTAAATGAATTCTGAAGGTACACACCTTGCATCTACTTCTGTGGATACACGGCCAGGTATCCTCTTCAGTATTTCTGCTCCAAACAGTACAAAAAGCTTATCACAAGCATTTGTAACCTGATCATCTTCTGAACTGGGAATATACAATTATCAAACAGAATTATGAATCTTGAGGGGAAAAAATATAAGGGACTAGAACAACCATGTTATGCTAACAGAGTATTAAATAATAATTTCCTTGGTCACAGATCAAATTGGGAACAGTTAGCTTGCTGTTTTTACTATGTTCTGATATTTCATAATCAGTCACAGTCTTTACCTGAAGGCTGATACCATGACTGTTTCAACTAAAACACGGCAGGGACTGAGAAAAATAACCCTAGAAGTCCTAACTTGCTAAGTCTGAACATTATTGGCTACTCACCCGCCAAGTTTCTTCCCATATGCAATAGCATCTTCCACCAACTGCTGGTAGGATTGCATCTGGGCTGCAGCTAGTATCAAGGAAGGATTGGTAGTAGCATCCAAAGGCTTGTACTCTTCAATCGCTATTGAAAAACAGCCAAATGAAATGGGTTAGCCAGCTTAACAATAATTAACGTACAGGATATGCAACAAGATGGCTCAGCAAGATGGAAACAATGCCACCTAGGCCTTCTCACATTGTATATGGTAAAATCAGTTAGGATAACCCAGTACATGGGGAAGATGGAGGTCTGATGTTCAGCACCAGCATGATGATGTGGTAGATTTGTAAAACGACAGGAAAAACTATACCCCAACAGCCATTCCAAGAGGTAAAAAAGATGGCCAATTTCATTCTTACCAGTAAGAGCACAGATGACTTAAGTAGCTCTTTCAACATTTTCTCACTCTAGAAACATTTATATATTATTGACATACTAACATTGTTTTAAAATGCCTTAGTCAAATACACAGATGTAATTCTATTCAACCATTAGAAAAATGCATATTAAAGCTTGTTTTCTACAGCTGATCAAGTGTCTTAACATTTCAAATTGACCCAGTTTAATGACTAAGTATGGGTTATTTAGCCAACTGTGACCCCAACTCTACCTCCTGTGTCCTTGCTGCTTCTGCCTTCTATCCCACTTATGTGCCAACTTAGAACTCTGGATTGATGAAAAAAAGGAACATAGAGTTTTAGCCCAGTTAAAAATCACGGGTTCCTTGACTGTTTCATAAACCAGATGCAAAGGAGAAGCTGCAGAAACTGTGCTCACTCACTCACTCCCACATAGCCCTGACAACCAATGGGTTGTCATTGTCTGTGAGCTGAGTCATTGGGTTTCCAGAGGCCTATAAGATTTGAATTGTTCTGTAATGTGTTTCTCCAAAACAAACCTGTGGAAAAGCAGGTTTGATCATGAATAGTTTAGACTGCTTTCTTAAACATTAAGGGCAGAGCTTCACTAGAGTTCCCTCCATTTGTAAGGGAGCACAACTGCAAAATGCTTCTATGCAAAATGCATTAATTAAAGTTGGAAGACATGCTAATGAATACATCATAGTGACATAGTGGCTGGATTCATGTGTCAAGCAATCTTGCTGGATGACAACCAACCTTGCATGTTTTCCATAGTGTATTTTTTGACTGGAAGTGTTCGACAGATAGTTAAGCTAACTTGGTTTCCACTCTCCTTGCTCAGACCCCCTACTGGTGACATGCACCCATTCAGCCACCATATATGGAATTCAATCCCACACTGGATGACTGGAGCAGCTCCTGCAGCGGCTGCTGCTCTTTCTGGGGGACTCGGTGGTAGCTGCATACCAGGACACTGGAAACCACAATGCCAAGTTCAGATAGTCAGAGAAATCATGGTGAAATGTGCAAACCACAAAGCCAACTGTTGTTTCTTATCATGGTTTCTAAAAAACCAAACATACTATGCTGCAATACTACGACAGGGTTCAGACGACATGACAGACTATCCTGCACAAGAAACCACCATGACTTGTGTCATACAAACCCACCTATGAACTTGTATCAAACACAAACACAACTGTAGGGAAGGTCTATGAGTTGAAAGGGGACATAAGCCTTTAATGTTCCTTTGATTTGGTTATTTTTTAGCTCAGCTATATGAAGGCAGAGATATTTTTTAAAAAAGGGAAAAAATCAGCTCCTCCTCCCTCTCACAAAAATTAATCGAAAGGGAGAAAGAGTGTTGCTGCTTGCCAATCCTGACAGAGTGAAGAACCCCTTCCCCTTCATCCATTGGGAAGCAAATAGAACACCCTCCCTTCCACAAGTGACCTACACTGCAGTCAGTGTGCTTTAAATGTAAGGCCAGTGCAGATAATCTGATTTACTTCTGAGCAGGCATGCATTTCAGCTAGCAACAGGGCAAAGGAGACAATAAGAAAGACTTGCAAATGCACCACTAACTTTATTTTCTTTTTAAGAAGAGGAACAGAGAATGGATAGTTGCAAGTCAGAAGGTGGGGGTAATCCAGGAGGCAAAAAAACAACTGAAGGATCTCCAGATTGCTGCTGTTTTGCCAAAGCCACAACAGGAGGCTTCCCCCTCACCCCACACCTCTGGCAGTCGAAGAGCCACTGAAACCATTCCTCTTGGCCCCAGAATAATACTGCAAGTTTAGCACAGGTTGACACACATAACAGGAAATACCTACAACATATAAGAGGTCAGGTCAGATAATAATAGGTCTGAAGAAATCCAGGAATTATTGGCAGAAATAGTGCATGGAGGACAGGCTAGGGAGTCATTTGACATGCCAATGATTACAATGCTGATAAGAATGTCTAGTGTATATTGCCCCAGAATGCAACTTTGTCCATGGAAATAATGTTCCATTATATAAAAGACTGTCAAAATGAGAAACAAGATCAATTGCTTAACTGTTTGCAAACACAGCCCATTCAGAAGAATTTTTGTATGCCTGATTAAAAGTGGCATCTAATTAATTTTTGGTTTTAATACTTTTTTAGAATCAGCATTTTCCCAGAACATAGGAAAAATAGTTGAATTGGTGTTTATTTTCTCTTTAGCATCTGGATCTGAAAAATCATGAGAAATAAATTTAATTACGACCAAGAATTATGAAGTTTAAGGCACAATCCCTTAACACAGCTGGCTGGGGAGTGCTGGGTATTGTAGGGCTTTTCTCTGCCTAAACATGCACAGGATAGCAGCTGCAGTTATGCAAACTGCTGTGTAACCTTCCCTGTTTCTGAAGAATGAGGAAGTACCGTTTGCTCTAGCACCTCTTTCCCCATCTCAGTACCGTATGCCATTTCCTCTTTGCGATCAGTGTTTCACAAACCCAGAATTCTGTTTTCATTTTGCAGAAAACACCAACAGATGGCACAAGGTTCAGCTTTAAGCTTTTATTGTATTGAGGAGGCATCTGACCATTCAAACTGCACAGACTTTGAAAGTATGTGATGCAAGCATGCCTGAGAATGAAAGGAAAGCTTTTGATTAGATGAATGAATACATGTGGGAGGATTTCCCTACATGATTTGGCACAATGTTCCCCTCTCTACTTCCTCCACCTTATTCCTGAGGTATATGCTGCATAGGTGTATGCACATTATGTATCAAACAGAGAGATCCCTCAAGCAGGTGAATTTATAATCTAAACCTTGGATCCACCTTCTTCAATCAAAGAACAAAACAGCTTAGTCATTGCAAGCTCAACTAAATAAAATTTCACTCTTTGTTCATGCCTCTCTGTAACATTTCAGCTTTCTTTTAAGCAATCATTATGCATAAAATCACTAAGATTAACTAGGATAACTGAAAGCAGAATACCAATCCAGGAAGTCAAATAATGTTCAATACAGTATGGCAGCAAATGCTATTGAAGTGCACCATCTGAGAATTCTGGTCACAAAATTCAATATATGTAAAACCATTTTAGAAATGTAAATCTCAATGCAACCTAGAAAGATGTAATCTGCATGCAGACACTGCAGGCAAGTATTACCAAACATACATATTGTAATCTGAAATACCTTGGTCATGTTTTCCAAATTACCTTAAGGAGGATATGCTATTTTTTTCCCTGAAGTTGCACAAGTGGCACTACAGAAATATAATACTTTCATCCTAATATGATATTCTTAAAGATATAATGTAACATTTTCTGAGTAAATCTATGTAATAGCAACAGGGCTTAGGTCCAAATGTTTCCAATGACTGACAAGTAATTCTCACCAGGTATGAGGCCATATGCTGTTCTGCCCACCTACGAAATTCATTATTTGACAGAGGTAATTACAGTATACCTAAAGTTGATAGTTTTTTTAGTTGATCCAGTAATTCTTTGTTGTTTTTAAGAACAGAACTCAATTCAAATATTTCCTTCCTTACCATGTTTCAGCAATAAGCTATCCCTGTAGATTGTTTGCTTCTAATACACTCAGAGTATTACACTACATATCTAATTTATATGAATCAAAATAAATCAAAATCAGGCATACACCCCAGGTGTGTTTTGTAGTGACTTTACCTGACATTCCTCGGACTGATAAAATAGTTTAATTTTCAACTAGCAAAAATTAATCAAAACTCATGCTCGAAGCAAGGCAGGCAGGTGTCATGCAAGCAGCCTTGCCAAATTTCACTAGGTGCAAAGCCACACAAAAATCTAGTAAGGCAAATTAAGGAACCCAGACTTTGATCTTCATAACTCTTTCTGGAAGGTGGAACCGGCCTTTCCGTATCCATACAAGAAGCTCCATTGAATGAGCTGGACTTGTCTAATGAAATCTCGATCGTCTGACCTGCCGAACCTCGTCTCCCTTTCCTCCTACCCATTACCATCATCTGGTTATTCAGTTCCCGCGGCTGCAACCTTTCGCCCTTTTACTTGGGAGTAAATGCCACTGCGCACAGTAGGCACTTACTTCCGAGTAAACACGTACAATTCTCACTGTGAAAAATTATTACTTTTTTAATTCCTCCCTTCTGACAGGCAGTGACAGCGACAAACTTCCCACCTAAGGCAGAGAGAGGGGAGAATTGCCGTTCGCTCCCGCCGTACCCGGAAAAGGCCAGCTGCGGGCCAAGCAAGCCAGAACAGCCAGGAGCGGCGAGGGCAGCGGCCTTGACAGGAGGCGCCGCGCTCGCCTTCCCGGGCCGAAGGACAGCAGGCACCCCCGCCCCGCTCGCACCTCTCCACCCGCCTCCGCGGAAGGGTCTGGCGGCGGCGGGAGGGTCAGGGCCGCGCCTCCTCACCATGGAAGTCTCCGGTGTCGGCCACCACCGTGGTGTGCTGCTTGAGCTGATCCAGCACGGACTCCATCTTCGGCTTCTTCACCGGGGAGACTGACATGGCCCGTCGACAAAGAGGGGGCGCGGGCGCGCTCGGCAGGACCCTTTATATGCACTCGGGCGAGGTGGGGGGGGCTATGTCGAACGGCGCGCGCCCTTCCCTCGCTCGCGCCACCCAAGGCTGTGACGAGCAGCGAGCACAGGCAGTGACCGCGTGAGATGGAAGGGGCGGAGTTAGGCCAGCGCACGCCGCCGCGGTTCCCTACCAGCTTCGCCCCACCCCTTGCTTGGCCGAAGGAGAGGGAGCCGGGGAGACCGAGCCGACAGCGGGTGGCCACTCCGCGCCGCCTTTTCCCTCTCCCTGCTTCGCAGCCAATCACGTGCGGGCTGGCCGGAGGAAGAGAGGGGGAAGGGCCAAGCGAATGGCTGGTTCGGAAGAAGGGATTGGCCAATCAGGAAAGCGGGAGGAAGAGGAGCAGGCCCCGGAACGCTTCCTGCCCCCGGTTCTGGAGTTGTGCATTCGCGAGGGGAGAGTCAGCGGGTGTTATAAATCATGATTATTATCCACTCCCGCCTACGGTGCCTGCAGCGCTTTCTTGCTCTACCCTATTTGGTATCGTTTTGTGGCACTTGTGGTTTCTTCTCCCTTTCACCCCATACCCCTTCACTATTCGAACGACAGCCTTATGCACCAAAAATAAAATAAAGTGAAATAAAATAAAATAATAAAAGCTTTTGCCTTAGTGATGAGGAAAGTTTCGCCCGTTTCATTTCTGTATCAAGCTTCGGTGGAAAGATGGGAATTGAGGTAGTTCTGCCATGGACTTGGATGTGTCTATGCTTTGCTCTTGAAAGCTCTTGATTCCCGTTATCAAGTCCTCGTTGCAGTTAAACACTAAGATGAAGAAGAGAATTTCTGAAACTACTAGGGACTGTCTTTTTGAGGTTTTTTTGTTTTGTTATGTGACTAGGATGGATGTCAGTCACTGCTCCCACATACACTGTAAGCCAGTGGTTTTCAACCTTTCCACAGCTGGGGACTGGCAAAAAAAGTAAAACCTTGGGGGACCGCTGAGGCAGAAACAAAAAGCACCATACATATAATACAGTATTCTGTGTATTTGGTATTCTGTGTTTCCAAACTTGATACCAAAAGAAAGAAAGAAAAAAGAAAATTCTCCAAAACAGTCAGAAACCGAGCAACAAAAAATGCCAACGAAAGAACAAAATTCCGAAATTGGTGATGTGTGGCTCCCAGCTGGCTCCCACTGAGATGTCTCTCCCCTCCCTGGATGCACCAGCACACTCCCTGCCAACGCGATGCCAACTGAGGAAGAGGTGGTGGCACACAGCCAGCCCTCAAGCCAGTCCGTGGTGAGCAGGATACCCCCCCCCCCCCCCCCCACGGACCAGCAGGAAATGTCCCACGGACTGGTAACGGTCCCCAGACCAGTGGTTAAAAACCACTGCTATAAGCTGCTATATATTATACCTGTATGTGTATATATAAGTATAACATGCACCTTACTCTTGGGAGGAAGCCATGACATAGATCTAAACTTAGTGTGGAGCCAAAGTGGCATCTATGACTCAGCATCTTGCAACAGCTTGAGCTGGTTTTACTAGAATTCTAATGGGATGTTCACTGAAATCAGTTCCTTCTTTGATATTCACTTGAAAACTCAAATGCTGCTCAACTCTGCCAGATTTGGAACTCCTGTGGCTCCAACTAAGTACCAATTCAAGCTACTGAACACCAGTAGCAAGGAAACTAGTTAACTGCAGCAAATTTTTATAGGCAGCAGCAAAAGTCTATGCATTAAGAAATAAACTTGCCTTCAACTGTCCCATAATTCAGATCTAAAATCAATATTGACTACAATGTAGGTTCCATTTATTTTCCATGTTCTGTCTCATATTAACATTCACATGACACCAGCAGTGCAACAGAGACTCATGGTTCAGTAGGCATTACCATGTTCTAGGGCAGAGAGAACTGGACCAAGTTTTCAAGTATACTCAGGCGCTAATACTTTGCACCGAGTTTTTGCATACACATAAATAGGAGCTTCAACTTCATAGGGATGTTGGCACCAATACTGAGTCAGCCTTTGCATCACAGATACAATCCAGTGTGAATTTCCATAGTCTTTTTTAAACGTTACATGACATACCAAATCAGGCAAGGACAAGCAGAGGCATGCACTCCCTTGTACAGCTTCTGTACATATTGTATGAATTGAACAGATGGGCACCCTGCCCTGTACACGAGTTCTTTGATGTTCCTTGCTTTCAAGCAAAGGTTGATCAAGAGTGCCTGGCCAACCAGCGATTTCTGATCATCCTGCAGTTTAAATTTGAATTACTGATTTATACTCTAAACCACTTCAGCAAATTAAAAGTTGGTTTAAAGGCGAAAAAACAGCAACAGCAATAACACTGTCTTTGGTCTCTGTATGCATTCTGAAAGGTTGCAAGTAAGGGAAGATGATCTCAGATGTGAAGGAACACAAATTGTTGAGACTCTGCTTGTAGGACACAACCATCACATAGTCATTGCACTGTATTGCTACATTTGAATCTCATCACTTGGCATAGATAAGGTCATTGCATTTTGTTGTTGTTGTTAGTCCGACCCATCCTGACCCCATGGACAACATTCTTCCAGGCCTTCCTGTCCTCCACCGTCCCCCAGAGTCCACTCAAGCTCACACCAACTGCTTCAGTGACTCCATCTAGCCACCTCATCCTCTGCCATCCCCTCCTTCTTTTGCCATCTATTGTTCCCAGCATTAGGCTCTTCTCCAGGGAGTCCTTCCTTCTCATTAGGTGGCCAAAGTATTTGAGTTTTCATATTGCTGGAGCCGAGCTTGTAGGATTTTGAGCATAACTTTGCTAGCATGTGAAATGAGTGCAGTGGTGCGGTAGTCTGAACATTCTTTGGCATTGCCCTTCTTTGGGATGGGAATGTAAACTGACCTTTTCCAATCCTGTGGCCACTGTTGAGTTTTCCAAATTTGAGTGTAGCACTTTTACTGCATCGTCTTTTAAGATTTTGAGTAGCTCAGCTGGAATACTTTCACCTCCACTAGCTTTGTTGTTGCTCAGACTTCCTAAGGCCCATTTGACTTCACATTCCAGGATGTCTGGTTCGAGGTCAGTGACCACCCCATCATGGTTATCAGGGATGTTAAGTTCTTTCTTGTATAGTTCCTCTATGTAATCTTGCCATCTTTTCTTAATCTCTTCTGCCTCTGTTAGGTCCCTGCCATTTTGGTCCTTTATCATGGCCATCTTTGCATGAAACATCCCCTTCATATCTCCAATTTTCCTGAAGAGATCTCTGGTCCTCCCTATTCTATTGTTTTCTTCTGTTTCTTTGCACTGTTCATTTAAGAAGGCATTCTTATCTCTTCTAGCTATTCTCTGGAATTCTGCATTCAATTGGGTGTATCTTTCCTTTTCTCCCTTGCCTTTCATTTTCCTTCTTTCCTCAGCTATTTGTAAAGCTTCCTCAGACAGCCATTTTGCTTTCTTGCATTTCTTTTTCTTTGGGATGGTTTTAGTTGCTGCCTCTTGTACAATGTTGCGAACCTCCATCCACAGTTCTTCAGGCACTCTGTCTATCAGATCTAATTCCTTAAATCTATTTGTCACCTCTACTGTATATTCATCAGGGATTTGATTTAGATCATACCTGAGTGGCCTAATTCTTACCCAATTCTTGCGATGGAGTAGACTGTTCCTGTCCATGAATTTAGAAAAAATTGGAAGTGGATTTTCACATCCAGCCCAACAACAGACACAACATCACAATGGTTTCAGAAGTCCACTGGGCCATTTAAGCAAGCAGAGGATTTATTTTAAAGATTTTCCAGAGATCCTGTGTTGTCTTATGTGACTTGGTGGTGTGCAGTTGATCTAATTTCACATGACTATATTTCCTCTAGTCCTCTCCTCCTTCCTGGATATGCGATTTCCTGGACTAAGCATGACTAGCTGGGGAAATACCTGGGTTTTTTTTTACATGAGTTTGTTTGGAAAGTCCAAATAAATCTTCACATAAAACAATATGCTTTTGCATGTCCTTTAATATAAAATCTGGCAGCAGTGCCCTTACCTCCTCCCCATCTGCAGGTTTTTTCCTTCCTAGGTCCTAGGGGAGGGGAGGAAAAACAGCCCCAAGCTATGCTAATGATCCACCCACTTTGAGATAAAGCAAGCTCCTAGCCCAAACAGCATCCTTTGCAATGTGAAAATATCTAGCCAGCTCATGTTTAGTCTTAAGGCAACTTATGCTTTATCTTCAGGAAATCTGTATCTCTGATTACAAAATCCACATTTCAAACCAGTTTGATTTCTGTAACTCCTGATTTATTTGTTATCTGTTACTCAAGCCTTTGATGGGTCATGATGTTTTTCCTGATGCCTATAATGTTTTCTTAGTGTTTCTGTATTATTCCCCACAGTCCTTACTTTCTCACCCATTCAGAATCTCATAACTGCATTGAAACTGTGTATATGACCCACAACTTATAAGAAACTCTGTCTGTGCTCTGGAAGCTTGTAGCCGGTTTGGAATACTGGCTACTCAAAAGCGCTGTTGTTTTTTCTCTTGTCAGATGGGTATCTGGGTGTTCGGCCAATAAACTGCTGAGGTCTGAGTGTGTGGATCCAAGCGTACATTCTCCTGGTTCTGCTAACTGGCAAGGCATATATTGTGCAATTGGCATTCCATGCTTATGGTAATTTATGGGTGCCTTAAACAATGCTGTGACCTTCCAGTTTCATTTGTGTCTACTCACTTCGAAGTTATGCAGTAGAAAAGCAGGAACCACTTCTTGAGTAAACAGTCTGATCTCAATTGTTCAATGAAACTGTAAGTAATACAGTTTTATATTTGTTTTAGAAGTATAGCTTTTATTCTTTCTGACTAGCAAGGAATATATGCTCTAATTGTACATGAGCAGCACACAATAACAACTAGCAATATTTGGAATTTACCCAGTGTTCATCTTGGCTGAAAAAAACTAGAATAATAACTGTCCACTCCAGTTGCTGCAATGCAATAGGTTGGATTGCATGGATTGTCATTGCTGGCCATCAATGGTGCAGTGTACTGTTTTTTCCAGATATTGCATGGATACCTGCCCCTTGATTTTTTGTTTCATCCTCCTTATTTGCACTGCACACTAAAAACCATCACCATCAAGCAAAATATGCTATGATTGTTGTAATTAAACTCACAGGAAGGCCTGAACAAGGATGTATAACTGTGGCATTTCTTGTTACAATGAAGCTTCCATTCTATCCCCATGCTTTATGTACACTCCCACTGTAAATATGTTTTGAAAATCCAACTGGTGCTGATTTGCATCTTACAAGCGGTTATCTCAAAGTAAGCTTTGTTCTGCCATGTAGAAGGTTCTGCACCCTCACAAGTCTGCACTTATACAAAGCATCTAACAATAACTTAACTTCCCCTTAGATGCCAGTGCATATGCCCAGCATTTCCATGACTGAGGTGGCAATTTTCTTCTTTTTCTTTTTGCAGGGGGTATTATCAAATCTTTACTCTCCCACAGCCCACAAAGCAAGTAATCCTATGCAATACAGCCTGCTGGTAAAATGCCAGTTCTTTTGGACCCTGATGAATCACAAATAAGGTGGCTTGGAGGGGACTATGAAATGGGATGAGAAAAAATGAGTTCTTAGGAGACTTTGAAGTGAGAAACAGAAGACAGAGATCCTGAAGTACAGTTCTGAGGAAACTGAAGAGGGAGGCACGCAAGAGAAGAAAGGTTTTGAGGAGGCTGAGAAAGGCCAGGAAAGAGCACAGGCTGAAAGCACAGGAAAGAGCAGACCTGGTACAGCCCTCCCATTAGGGAGAATGTGGTGACTGACTCAGGCAGCTGATGCTGGAGGCACCAGCAACGGCCCCCACCTGCTCCTGCTGAGCCTGCAGCTGTTTCCTCCAGCAGAGAACAGAACTGCTACATAGAGCACAAATGTGCCCAGAACCAGCCAGTTGCCTGAGACACAGTGGAGAACAGAGTCACAACCCCTGAAGTAAGATCCAGTCCCGCTGGGTTCTATGTATGGAGTGAAGAGAGACACTATCTTAGCTTCGGGCGGAAAAAGCTATGGGCCAGACCTGATCAAGGCAGTTCTGGTTCCTTTGGCTAGTACAGGATACTGTAGGACATATCCGACCAGCCAGCATTAGGCAGCAGCCGGCTGGTCATCCCAAGCATACACACAACAATAGAGAACCTATAGTGCAGTTACAAAACAACAGAGAATCATCAATGGCCCGAGATGGAGCAATCTTCCGCCCAAGAGCCTCGAGTTCAACTCCCAGGTAGACCAGCACCACAGATGTGCATGGAGGTCACAGGATTCACAAGGAATCCTGGTGGGAATTTCAACCCAGTAAGCAGCTGTCTCTGCTGCCTGGTCATACAGGGTATAAAAGGGGGACTCTACCATGGTCCCAGGTTTGATGGCCTTTTTATTGGGATTGAACGTATTCTTGAGAATGAAGAAACTTATTCAATCTCTCACCCCTGCCGTGCTTAACTGGGTCAAGGGCACGAAGGTCCAGACCCCCTTTGTCCAACAATAGGGCTATTCTATGATTCCATCTGTAGCTACAGTACAGTGCCTGCGTACCTGTAAGCTGCTGGGCATGCAATCCCAGGGTCGGTTGGGCAGGGGCATCCCAGGAGCCGTAGGATTTTTTGGCTCTGCCTTTCCGAGGGCACTCTGGCCTCAGAGAGGAGAACTGACCTCAGATGCCTTCCACCTGCAGCTGTGGAAAGGAATGCAACTAGTGCTGCTCTGATGCCAGAAAGGGCAATGAGGCAAACTGGGAGAACACAGCATCCAAACCCTCCCGCTGCCCCAGTCCGTCCCCTGAATGGGAGGGAACAGTAGCCCTGGTGCTGGTGCAGTGATTTCTCTCCAACTGGAATCAGTGGAAATGCACATTCTTTTTCTTAAACCATAAAAGAAATGGTTTAAAGCACTCATACCTCCTGCTCTGCCCTCACAAACTGCCAGGGTATAAAAATGCAGTTCTCTGCCTTGGTTTCCCCCTCCCTCTCCCCACTAGGATCACCCCGTAAACGTGTTTGCAACGTATCTTTACAGAATTCTGTCCACTTCTATTGATATTGACACATGTTACAAAGCGACAATAGAGCAATTTATTTATTTGTAATGTGTATTTTATTCTTCCTCCAAGAAATTATGTTTTTCTTTACTTTGCTGGACTTTCATTAGTATTACTCTGCATAATAAGCAGTTTGTTTGCTTTGTCTGCTCTATCAGGCTGGTTTACACAGTTAAACAAAAATAAATGCATATTCTGCTGGCTATATACTTGCCAGCTTCATATATAATATATACTGTACTTTATACTGGTTCTGATTCTTCAAGTGTGATTAAATTATAATTGTGCAGCTACCTTTAACATGCAATATATAATATGAACATTTCATTTTGCTATAGGTCCATCACTTTTATGCCTGCTTTTAGTTTTTGTAAAGAACCTTGTATATATATTTATGTACAGATAATCTAAAACTATTGTGGCTAATGTACAAATAACAATTATAGATAGAGAAATGTTTTGCAGGGAAGACTGCATTTCCCAAAGTTTTGGTGTTGCAAAATTCTCCAAACATGCAGAGGAATAGAATTTCTTTGAGTAAATTACAGAGTCATGGGGCAGTTCATAGCATGTGATGTCGGCATGTTAAAAGGCTTTGCAGGACTCAGGCATAGCCCAGATACATCTTCAGATTTCCAGAATCAAAATAAAAGAACATCCAGCAGCCACTTTTGTTCACACAGACATGTCTATTTCCAGATGTGCAAAAGCATCAAAGCTTAAATGGAGTTTTTATTTACCAACATCAACTGCACCTGTTGCCATAGATGGCTGTACCAAAAGATCTGCATACTTTACCAGTGCTGAGCTAAGTAGTTTCAAACCGTGCAGCAAAGGGGACTGGTATTCAGCTGTTTAATTTGGACAGAACAAGGACAAAGCACCCAAGAACCACTCTTGCTTGTGAGGTTTGGCTTATATCTAATCCTTCAAAGAACAATTAGCTGTGTAAACAGCTGGGCGTAGAGCGACACCCACATGTCAGCACGACGAACCAACTGACCAAACACGTTTATTCAAACAGCAGGAACCTAAGAACCTAAGAAAATTTGGATTGCACTGTTTTACTGCTTTATGGGTTCTGAGGATACATGTGCTAGATGCATGTTCTACATGCATATTCTCAAGTTGTTCTTCCTCACCATATGGACCAGAAACTTTTTAAAAATGAAACTTCAATTCATTGTAGTATTCCCTTAGACCCAACACTGATGGCCTCGTAGGCCCTAAAATGTGCATCCCTTGATTAAAGCAAATTGCATAGCTGAAGCACCCCCAGGGCAGGATGGTGAGAATATATATCAAATCAGAGTTAAATCTCATGTGCAGAATCATCTTTTGGTTATTGATTGATGTTCCAGTTGGGCAATACTGTGACTGTGCGGTCAAGAACAAATTCCAAGACAAACACTGCTAATCTGTGCCCATCCCATATTGTTAACAGGCGGATGAAACAAAGAAATGTGAGATGTGCTTCAGTTAATTTCAGCCTCACCTCGAACTTGGAAAAATAGCAAATGAGAGGGAGGGAGGGAGAGATTGCTCAATTGTAGTATTTAGTTACTAGCTCTTTAAGAAGCAAAAGATATACCTCTCCCCCCACCCCCAGCCACTATAAAGTCTGGTCTAGTGCAGGTTCATGAAAATGGGTAAAATAGAGGGAAGGCCATTTAGGCTCCAAGCCTATATACTGAACTAGGATTAAATTCCGCTGAATTTAATTAGACAATTACAGGATTGTATTGTTAGGGACTTCAAGAAAGCAAGTTGTCTCCTTATACCAGTAAGAAACTAAGACTTTTCTTGTACATTATTAAGGTCCAGCTTAGATATGATCTGTACTGCAAATCTTCATGTTCCTTTTTAATATGATAATATGACTATTTAACTAACTTAGGTAGTGAAGCTTAACAGACGTTCCATACCATCATTTCAGGATCAGAAAAGAGGCTTGTGTCATCCCAGAGATGCAAGCGCAGAGCCAAGCCAGGCTTGCCTCGATGTAATGATGAAGCCTTAAGTGGGTGGATGTGGGAGGGACAAGCTCAACCACTTGTCCAAAAGCTCTGCAGAGCATATCCAGTTATACCCAAGGTGGTCTTCATATCACTTTTTGAGAGGATGCAGCTGCTAGTGCTTTTTTTAAAACTGCCCTTGGATGAACCCAAGATAAGCTTGATACATGGTGGCATCATAGAAACATCCCGTGGGAAAGCAAAAGTCAGCTTGGTGGCCAAATTCATTCTGGAGAAATCCAAAAGAACATAAATCTTTTGCCTGCCGGTCAATCATCGGGTTGTCATCCGTTTGCTGGGTTATGATATGTCACAGTTGTGTTCCCAGGAAGTATTCCCACCCCCATGATGCGCTAATTCAGGCCTTATTGCATCATACATAATAAAAGATATGGGAGCACATTATCTTCAAAACACAGGGCCTCCAAGCATTCTCATTCTCGTAGCTGTATCTCTCCAGCCCATTTTATGAAGCTTTATCAGTAACGGGCCGTACAGGAAACAAAGATTACCTTAAGGCCATTTTGCTTTGATCCAGTCTTTGCTTTGAACATGAATTCTGATCCTCCTCATAGTCTAAACTTCACAAACATAATGTTTGTGCATAAAATACAGAGATACAAAAATAATACTTTGTGCAGTACAGGACCCTCTCTCCCAATGCAAAGTCACGTTAGCTTCCCCTTTATCAACAGTGCGAAGGAACAGTCCGTTTGGATGGCAATTTACATTGTTCGGCACTGATCCCCGCCATGTTTTATCATTGTAATGGGTGACTTTATTTAATTTTTCATCTCTTTCCCTTTTTTCTGCAAGCAAGTGTATATGATTAGGAGTTGGGGACAGGGGAAAGGCAGAAGTTAAATAGCAGAATCAATCCTCTCTTGGCGTCTCTTCATGATTTCTTGAAGCTCTGTCTCTCCTCTGCATTTCTAGAATAAAACCAAAAGATGAAGAGTGTGATGAAATTCGAAACTCTTTCAGATGAAATAGGTTCCTCTTCAATTTAATAAAAGTTTCAAGATATCCACTTAAACTAATGATATAACCATGATCTAGTTTTGTTTTTTTGTGTTTGCTTTACATGGCAGCATCGCTGGCGGTAATTTTGAAAAAGCTGGAGGACTAACAAAAGGAACAGAGGTGAAGGCTGAATGCTGTGATGTGAAGAAATGATCTTGCATTGAACCCCAACACTCAGCATTTCATATCCGTTTTTCTGCAAAAGACCTTTGCAAGATGTTACTGCAAAATTCTGAAATGAAACCTGGACTTCTCTGATGCCACCTCATGCCTTCAACCAGGACTCAGCTAGCCATAAACACAGCTGGGCAATACAACTGGGCAGTTCCCCAACCTCGCATGATCCAGATACGTTGGAAGACAACTTCCATCACCATGAGTATGCTGGCTGTGAATGATGGGAGTTGTAGTCCAGCACATCTGGCAAATACCAGGTTGAGTGAGGCTGCACAACTCTTTCTTCTGGCTACTTTAAAAAAGAAAATCTATAAGAAATGTATTATATTTTAGTATTGTATGCCTTCGGTAATAATGCTTTAATGCCAATATGTTAAACTGATCTTTTAGACTAATAAAAGGACCATGTCATCAATAACTTATAGAGAAATGCCTTGCTTTTCAGTACAGTTTTCAGTACAGTTAATTTTATATTTGATTAAAAAAAAAATAGATTGCACCTGACAGTATATAGCGGTTTACAGGAACCTGAGCTCTATTATTCCCAAGGGGGAAAAAAGATGCCATTTTCTCTCAATGGCTTCTTTGCTGGCTCCTTTCTCTAACTCTCACCATATTTCTTAGCTTAGGCTAACCCTGTGCATGTTTAGCCCCCCCTCCCCCAATCCAGTAATTCCCAGCATCCCTCCAGCCAACTATGGCTCCCTCAGTGACATGAGCCCTCTCCCATTTTCCTGAGGCCTTTAGCGTGACGACCGCGGACACTGATGTACCTGCAGAGACTTTCCTTCGCCCCCGTCAGGCTGAAAATTACACTGCAGACTGGGAGGGAGGATGAGTTCTATGTAAGTTTTCCTGTGCACACGTGTGTGTGTGTGTGTGTGTGTGTGTGTGTGTGTGTGTGTTTTGTCTTTTTTGAGTCACGTTTCTTGTGCTTTAGCTGATTTATTTGCTCATTTTTGTGTGTTGCGTTGTTTGCCTGGGGTATGTTCTCTAAACATCACCACCTTACCTTCTTCGTTGTAATGTCCTATCTATAGAATATTATTACTCTTGATTGTATACGGATTATGTATGTATATAATTAATCAAATACCTTAAATTATCTCTAATCATGGACTTTTTGTAACACACACACTCTCTATAATATTTAGCTGCAAGGGGTGCCTGTCCAGACTAATCCCATCCCCCTAAAATCTAGTACATGTGTTTATTTTAATAATCAGTAATAGTTTTTGCTACAGTACTAAAAGGTATTTTAACTTATGTTTGAGGTCTGTGTGACCCATGTTTGTTTGCTCTAACACTGTTGCATTATGAAGTACGGCACAATATTCTCAATCGTGCAGCATAGTTGTTTTATACACAAGGGAATTCTAAGCTGTCAGCAGTTCATGACCAGTAAATTATTTTAACAATAACTCTTGGTCATATCACCATCCAGAAAAAATACAGCTTACATTTTTGCTTATACTGTGTTGTTCACTTACAGATTGATATTGATTTTTTTAAAAATATGGCAGCATATTCATCTCAGTAATGGATATTGTACTCTGCCAAGCAATGTCTAATTCTGCCCATTTTATTAAATAACTTTGAATTTCCTGCATCAACTAATGTGGGTAAATAAAATTTCATCTGCCAAATTTTGAGTTACCCAAATCTCTAAATGCTTATTTGAGACCTCTTCCCAAGGAATGTATCTGGTGCTATGATCATACTACCTGTCTATTTACATCTAGGTGCAGCCTTACATCTCCGTATATGGGAACTTTCAAACCATTTTTGCCAAAAGATCTCACCTCAGCGATCGACTTTTGCACTGTGATTTTGCTATAAACTCGGGCACCTTCTTCTCCGCATACTTTTTTCAGTTCTTCCTTGTTCAGTGAGAAAAGTTGTGCCCCTGTCAGTATGCCGAGGTGGTCCACAATCCTGGGGAAATGTTAAATAATTTGCACAAGGATTGGAGGAGAAAAACCAAAGAACAAAATAACCTAAGAAGAGCCGTGCTGAATCATCTAGTTCCTCCAGGTCCATCTGGTTCAGAATTGTGTGCACACAGCAGCCAGCAAGGGAAACCCACAAGCAAGACAACAGTGGCGCAGCACCCTCCCATCCATGTTCCCCAGCACTGGCATTCCCAGGCACACTGCCTCTGATACTGGAGACAGCATGCAGACAGCATAATGAGTAGTTGCGGGTTGCCTTCTCCCCCATGGATTGGTCCGATCCCCATTTAAAGCCATCCAGATAGGTGGCCATCGCTACCTCCTATGGAAATGGATGCTGTCGTTTACCTACGTGCTGTGTGAAGAAGCAGACCCACAACCGCAGGTTCACTTAACCACAGTTGACCTCCGCCTTTAAGAGAAGTCATAATGTGCCAAAGAAAAGTTGTAAAGTGCTTCCTTTAAATGAAAAATCTCGATGGAAGAGGCAAAGGAAAAAAATGGTTTGCTAGGATGGAGGAAATCTTCTACGCATTAAATTGTGGGGGGGAAAAGAAATGTATATGTACAGTATATAAGGCTCGCTATATAGGGCTCACTATTATTTGCAGATATGGGCATCAGCAGGGGACTTGGAACCTGTCCCCACAGATAAAGGGGTCCTGCTCTAGTTCCTTTTATCTGTCTTGAATCTGCCACCAATCAGCATTGTGGGATGACCCCAGGTTTTAGAAACTGTAGAAAAAAGTCTCCCTTTTCACTGACTCCACAGCATACATAATTCTGGACACCTCTATCATGCCTCCCCTTAGTCACTGTTTTTCTGAGCGAAACAATCCCCAAGTTTGTAACCTTTTCTCATAGGGAAGCTGCTTCAGATCCCTGATCATTTTAGTTGCCATTTACGACACTTTTTCGAATTCTAAAATATCCTCTAGAAATGTGTTCTGACCATAACAGTACTCAGTACTCCAAGTGTGGTCCCCCCATAGATTTCTATAAAGGGAGCATGATTGTGGAAGTTTTGTCTTCATGTCCTTCCCTAATGAGGCCTAATAGGACATTTGCCTGTTTCACAGTAGCTGCACCCTTGGTGGAAATTGCCATCGAGCAGTACAGCACAGCCCTTCAGTCTCTTCCTTGGTCAGTCGCTGCTAGCTCAGATGCCAACAGTGCCCGTGTGACGCTGGGGGCCTTCTGCTCCTGCATGCATCCATTTACTCTTGCTTGCATTGAACGGCATTTGGCATTTTGTCAAACAATGTCCATTTCCCAGTTTGGAGACAACGTTTTGGTGCCCTTCACAATCACCTATTTATTTAAATGTGATTGATTTTTATAAAACTCAGTAGCTGAAGCTCTCTGGGTGATTTATCCAAAGTTAAAATTGAACGAAAGTTGTAAAAAAACACACACAAAAATTAATTTAAAAGAACAAAACCGGTATTGGAATTGGAATTGCTATGATTCAGCACAGAAACATAGCAGCGGTACAGAATAAAATGGAATATGTAAGAACAAATTTAAAAAGTTAGTCCCTGTGGTTTTATTCTAATGTGTGTCTGTGTACCTGATCCCCCACCCCTCCCCCAAACTGTGTATGTAACTGGTAGGTTACAAAAGCATCTTGTACAGACTCCATCCTGGTAGTCCCTTTGGGGTCTGCCTACATGTCGCATATATTTCCTGCATGTCTGAATAAACGATAAATGTTCTCTTGATTGTACACCCCTGGCATACTTGCTATCGCAGGTTTTTCTTCTCAAATCCTACTAAAATAGGGTTGGGTGACCTGATGCCCTTTGGATGCTTTGGAACAAAATGCCCATCAGCTCCAGCCTGCAGGGAATTGTAGGCCACAACATAGGGAGGGCGCAGGGCCACGCCTCAGTCCCGCAGTGGACGGGTGGGACAAGGGAGGAGCTGACCGTCTCAGGAAGAAAACAAGAGTTGAAAGAAGGAATGGGCTGGACTCTCTCCCACCCTTTCCTTCTGAATTTCCCGGGCCCTACGATCCTTGCCGACATGTAACCTGCTTGTTAGGAAAAAGGCATTTCTGCCTTCCCAGCTTAGCATATATGATAAAATGTAAGAGGCAGGTTGAGAGAAGAGAAGAGAAGAGAAGAGTGAGAGGAGTAGAAGGAGAGGAAGAGTGACTTACGCTTTATTGAAAGAATTTGCTTCCAGCCAGGCTCTGACTTCCTCAGGAGTGGATTCAAAAGTCATGGGCACATGGACGTGCTGCGCCTTCTCTACTTTAAAGTGCCTTTGAGGGACTTTGCTGTTGGTGATCTTTTTCAGCAGTTCGTCATTGACTTCATCCATGTGATGAATCAGTTCTAAAAACAGAATGCACAAATTAAGGGGATGGGAGGAAGTACTGAGAGCATCAAGTCAATTAAAAAAATCGAGGTGCAAGGTCTGCGCTCAGAGCTATCCTCTGTTCACAGGGCGTGCAACCCTCCCCATTCGCTGCCTCTGAGCCATCTAATGGCTTCGTGCAATCAGTCCGCCCCTTTGACTCTTTCAGTTTCCCTGGATGAACTCCGGTCTGCTACTGCTCAGGCTAATTCCTACACACAAGCACTCAAATTTCCAGGAGTTTACCAACCAATTTCCCAAAAATATAAAAGAAAACCTTTCCCTCTGTATCTTTGACCATTTTTCTTTTCCTTTCTTTATTTCTCTCTGGAAATCCTTTCAGGATGCCTATCCTGAGAATTCTCAACAGTTTTTTCTTTCGGCATTTTTTCCCCAGCCACTGCCTACCTGCCTCCCCTGCAATTGCAAATGCAATCATTTCGTCTAACAAAAGGGGGAGCTTCCTACTAGGGGGGCAGTTTGGCAGATAGGGATGGCCCAAAAATGCCGAAAAAGGCCAGTGGTCCCATTTTCTGGCAAGAAAGGGACCCACATAAAGCTTTTCTCTACAAAACCCCAGGATCTTCATACAGGATAGGCTTATTGAGGATGTCCAGAAAACCGGGTAGGACCTGTGCTTGTGAGTCCAGTTTTAAAGTGCCACCACAAAGCCCACGTGCAAGAAAGTTCTAAGACCAGATCTATTACTCCAGCTCGCCTGAAAAACGGTTGAGACAGCCAGTATCTATGCTCCCCAAAATGGGGAGAATTCCAGCTGAACTTACCATCTCTTCCGCCTAGGATAAAGAGCTCAGAAGCCCACAAGTCCTACCTTTGTTGCCAAAAATTGCCAGAATCTTGGTTTTCAATTTGCAAGGAATGAGCACTCAGACTCGGGGAGATCGAAATGTCTTGAACTTCTGTGGCTTTATTGAATTGGTGCCCAGCTTCTGCAGTAACTAAGGACAGTGCACTCCCGGGTAGAGGGAAACTCAGCTACAAAATCGCAGCCCATGTACAGACGCTTTTATACCCTGCTAGTGGCGTACACCAATACAGGGTGCTAAGTTTCCAGATAATGCTAGTACAATAGCATCTACTAGCATTATCTGGAAACTTGATAATGCTTGATAAAGACATCATCATCTTGATGTCTTTAGGCAAACTGATCAGAAATACTGATAACAATAGTATGGAAAATATTACTGATTGCTTTATTGACATGTCAATTCAGTAGGTTCCTTGTAGTTTGGAAAAGCCCCCATGTCTGTTGAAACATGCAAATGTGTCTGACTGAGGAGCCATTCAGGAAAACTGGTTTGACAGAACTAGATGATTAAGTGGGTCCATTCAGAAACAAACGGACACCTTTGTCTCCTCTCTCTGCAGCTGATGCGAACACCAGTATTTCCCCACTGACACTGTTAGCCTGTAGCAGTGTCTCAGCCCAGCTAAGAATTCCATCTTCTTAAAGTAACTGCAATACTGAACAGTAACTTGGCTTGGAATTCTGCTGCTTTCTGAGAAAGAGGCGCAGTTTTGATTTTATAATGCAAAGGCACATATAAGCAACCTTTTCCTACCAGGATTTACCTGAATTTTCCCAACAGAGTGGAGTAGCAGAGCAGGGTGGGTGGGGGGAAGCCCCTTCTTTCCCCCTCGCCAGTCAGTGGGATCACCTTACACTTGCGCTGGCCTGAGAGGGAAAGGGGAGGCAATTCCCTCTGACTTCCCTGGAGGGAGCTGGGAAAAGTGGCCCTCCTGCCTGCTCACGTATCTTCTCCTTTCCAAGGAGGACGCACGTGGGGCACTGGAGCCTGCCCAGCCACTTTTCGAGAGGAAGGCATGTAAGAGGCATTGGCTTTCCACACAGCCTGGCTTGGCTTGGTGCTAGTGGACGGGGTGGTGCATTTGCCTTGCCCTCCTGGGAAGATGCAGCTGCATGCGCCTCTCCAGCCCCTGCTCACAGCTGCAATGCTTGCGGCTTTGCACATTGCGACGACCCAGAACCCACCTCTACTTAGATTCCTGGGCAAGTTGCTTTTCTTTTTGTCACAGCCACCACGGCGCTCCTGTGTGGCGACCATTCAGGGAGGGTGCCGGTAACACGTCCTCCACATTCGGAATGGCCCACCAGCCCAAGGCCGTTGGGGAATTTCTGGTCCGGGCTAAATTACGGGTGGGCTCTTGGTCTGCATACAATGACTTTATGATGGAAGATATAACAAGCAACTGGTTCATTGTGTACTTACGTTCTTTGGCATCAGGAGAATTACGGGCTAACATCTCACTTCCCCATTTATCTCCAGCATAGCTGGCAGGCAATTTATGTGGGGGGCTGGAAGGTCCAGTTCCTCTTGGGCTCAACTCTCCTTTGTATTTCTGAGTACAAAATAAAAAAGATCTTTAAGTACATTGTTAACTGTTATTACTTCATTACTGTCATCCTCCAAGCCTCGTTGTGATAAGAGTACAAGTCCAGAATTGTCACAGCATCTTTATTAACTTTTTGCACCATCAGCAACACATCCATCTTTGCTTTGACTTTTAAGAAAATATGAACCCCTTCCTGGATCAGATCAAGGGTCAATCTCGTCCAGCATTCTGTTCTCACACAGTCGCCTGCCAGCTGCTCCCGGGAAACCCACAAGAAGGGCATGAGTGCACGATTTATGTGTTCATCCTAGATTTATGTGTTCATCCTAGAAGGATATGTCAATTCTGATGAACTAGGAACACACTGGGGCAATTTGCACTCCTGACAGTGGCAATGAGCAACACTTCAGTTACTGTTGCTCTAGTGAAAGCAACACTTTGGATATTTGTGCAAGGTTTTCCTCAGATAAAGGACACAGCCAAGCTAAACGCCTCCTCAGGAATAAGCAAATCTTGCTTATCAAAGAAAATAGCCAACTGTATCATTCCACTAGTAAAAATGACTCTGCACTAGCATTAACTAGCTTCCAAACTATGCATGAAAGGAGAAGCCACCAAAACGTATGTTTTTGCAAACATGGTTGCACAACTGGCACAAGGGTAATGGGCAAACGCTTGCACCACAGAAGGATTTAGAATAGCTCTGCTATTTGAGTTTGCAAAATGGCATCCCTGGGTACTGACTCAAGAGGTCAACATTCAGACAACACTTTGGTCCATTGCTTATTAGCCCTGTGATGGTTCAGTGCGAGCACGCGATAAAAATAGCTGTGCTGTAGTGTTTACATGACCCCACAGAATCAGCTGCATTCACTAATATTTTGAGGGTTATCTCCAGTGTTAGTATAACTTAAGTCCCATTTGTTTCAATCAGTCTGCTCTTAGGACTAAGAGTTGTATTCGCTAGGACTAACAGTGGATACAACCCCTGGCATTTTCCCATATGTACACTGGGACTGGGAGGAAACGAAAGAACATTTTCCTTTTCTTTTCTTTTATAACTTTTCTTTTATAACTTCTTTTATATCGTTTATATATATATATTTATTTATTTTATATTATTAACTTTAATTTTATATTGTTATTTTTGTATTGTATTGTATTGTATTGTATTGTGTTGTAAGCTGCCCCAAGGCTTCGGCAAGGGGCGGCATAGAAATGTTCTAATAATAATAGTAATAGTAATAATAATAATAATAATAATAAAAATTGTCCACCAAAAATGGCATGTGACGTCCCGAAGAGTACATCTGGGAGCACTTATCCAAGGGCTGCATCTTCCTTCTTGTCTCCACGTCACAGTGCACACCATATAAATTATATCCCCACAAGTGTCTTCTGAGCGCCCCAACTGATGACTTGTTTGTTTATTCCATGTGTAGTGTTCACTTCTTCCAAGGAGAATCAAGTAATGTAAAAATACTTTTCCATCTTAAAACTCTACAGCCTAGTAACCGTGCTGCAAAATTGCAAAGGTGCTTGCTAGCACCTTGGAAATGAGGTACCGTAACACAGGAGCCTTGTAGGGTGAGAGCTTCCCTTTAGTGGCCTGTGCCACCAGTGCAGCTTTTGTGCCCATAAATGTGCCACGTCCACGATTCCTTTCTCTTTCCTATACCCATCAACTGCCATGTAACTTTTCAAGGTTTATTATTCAGCATGTAATGATTAGCAGGCAAACCAGGGCTCAAATCCCTGCTCGGCCATGAAATTCGCTGTGTGACTTTGACCCACTCACTTTTTATCAGCCTGGCCTCCCTCACACAGGCGTTGCAAGGATAAAGGGCAAAGAGAAAGAAAGAATCAGGCCACCATAATCTCCTTGAAATAAGTAAATAAATAAATGCATAGGCACGTGTGTAGTACCCATGCAATATATATGCATATAGATATACTTTCTTCATACACATTTATAATTAAGAGCAGTTTGTAGTCTAGCATACCTGTATTTTAAGGGGAACACTTCTTGTAGATATAATCTGTGGGATTTAAATAAGTGTTTAGCACCTGACTACAGCTAACAGGTAGCAAAGTCTCACCTGATCGAGTGACCCATAATCCTCTATCTTCACCAGATCCAAGATATTATATGGAACATAGCCAGTCTGCCCACTTCGATTTCTCAGTTTCCACCACTGTTTATTATCTTCCAACACCTGTGCATAGAAAAAGTCTTTATTTGCTAAGAAAAATTCAGTCCCAGTGATGTTTAGAATATCTGCTTTGGGGTTCTTGTACAACTGTAATAAAAAGTGTAATTTGTGATATATAGTACATGAGAATTCCTATTCCTGAGCACCAAGTGCCCAAGATGCATGTATTTATCTTATAAACCACTTTATTGGTCCTACTGAGTCCTCTAAGCAGTTCACAACAATACAGAACAATTCATATACAAGAACAATGTAAAAATCAATTAAACAGTTAAAACAGTGTGCATATAACAATATTATAAATATAACTTATATATAAAACAGCTGAGACTATTAATCAAATTGGAGTGAATTAAAAGCATAAATCAATTCCTTTAAAAATCAATTACGTTAAAAGGCAATTATTAAAATGTCTGGAGAATAAAACTGTTTTTGCCTGGTGCCAAAAGGATTGTAATGAAAGTGCCAGGTGGATTGCTCCCGGGGAGGTGGGGGGGCTATTCCAAAGATGGGGCGCAATCACCGAAAAGGCCCTTTTCTGTTCTCCACCCTTCTCATCTCCTTAGAGGATGGATCTTTCAGATGGGTAGGTATACATGGGACTTTCCCCATGAAGGCATTCTATTACACCTGAATTCGTTACGGGAAAAGGTGCAGTTGTAAATTTGAGGTATAGGCCCTCATCAGGATAGTCCCCACAGTCAAGGAGCACCTCCTTCTCAAGTGCTCTGCACTATGTATACCTTTTGCAAACTGAAGTGGCTATTCAGTGCCCATCCAAGAGCAAGCCATAAGTAAATCCCTTGCATTGGAGAGGGGTATGGGAAATCTCTCTCTTCCCCACACTCCTATTGTGAGGATTGCAGCCAGACTTGGTGGGAGAGAGCAGGGAATCCCAGGGCAGCAGCACAGGAGGCCATTGGCCCTGCCCAGCAAGGTGTTCCAGTGCACTGATGCGCTGCCACACCACTGCGTACAGCAGTGTGAAGAACCTCTTCCAGCCCAAGGCCCTGCTCCAGTTCGGAGAAGCGCTGCAGGCTGCATCCCAGTGAAGGGTGGGATCAGAAAGCAAACAATACCAGCCCATGTTTGGTACAGCTCTTACTTGGCTGCTACTGAGTCTCAGCAGAGCCATTTCCTCCACTATAGGATGGGGGAAACTGGGCAGAAGCTAAGAAACCACCAGAAAAAAATAGAGAAGGTCCAGAGGAGGGAAACAAAAATGATCCAGGGTTTGCCATATGAAGAGAGACTGAGAGAACTGAGCATGTTCAGCCTTGAGAAGAGATGACTGAGGGGGAAACATGGTATCTACCCAGTGCTTTTTTTGTAAAAACAAAACAAAAAAAGTGCCGGAACTCACGTCTTGTTAATCTTTTATTTAAAATATATATATATATTCAATTCACCAACTTTTTTTTTGAAATAAAGAACTTATTTACCTTTTGCACGTAGCCAGTCACTCTACACACACACAAACATAATGGTCGCCACCAGCAGTAAGCACTCAGCGCGCGACCACACGACCAATCCCAAGCCGAGCAGTGCCCCGAGCTGAGCAGCGCCCTCACAATCAGCATGGACACACAAGCAGCCCGCATGCACTATTTTAATGATTTTTGCTGTCGACCTGCTACACCCAACAGGGCAATTAAAAATCACTTGGAAAAATCTGTTGGAAAAATCCATCAAAAAAAGCTGCTGGAAAGCTGTTCCGGTGCGTTCTATAACAAAAAGGCCCTGTATCTACCTATAAGTACCTCAAAGGCTGTCACTGAGAGGAAGGTCAAGATCTCTTTTTACTGATACCAGAGTGCAGGAAATGGAATAATCAATTCAAGCTGCAACAACCCAGATTCAGGCTGGACATCAGGAAAAGCTTCCTCACTGTCAGAGCAATACAACAGTGAAACCAGCTGCCTGGAGAGGCGGTGGTGGGCTCTCCCACACTAGAGACATTCAATAAGAAACTGGACAGCCATCTAGATGAGTGGGGTGGTGTAAACTGGTGTCCTGTAACAGCAGGGGGTTGGACCCGATGGCCTTCATGGCTCCTTCCAACTCTGTTCTTCTATGATTCCATGAAATGATGCTTGGGGAAGGGGGCAGGAGAAGCGGAGGCATGGGCCCCTCTGGACAATACTTCAGGGCTGTTTGACTCCCAGGCCTGAGGTTCTACACCCACTGGCCCATCGGAAGGTTTTGCAATTAAGTGGCACAAGATCTCCTCCAACCACCTTTGCCCTCCGCCACTCCGCTCCCTTTCTCCCAGTGCCCAGTGCCTTCAGCCCACTGCCAGGTCAGCCATAATGAACTGCTTGTGAAAGGGACCGCCATGTCTGTAGCCGCTCCCCAACATATTTGTGTTGAACACTATGCAGTGCTAGGGATGCTGCTCATACAGTGCAGGAACTTCCTTCCAGCAGTCAGGAAGAACCAAAGCTTTGGTGCAGCAACATTGCCCTGGAGAATCAGCACATGGCGAGGGCGACGGGTATCCCTGTTCCGCATGGCAATTATTTGCAAGGCTGGGCAAGAAAGACATAGGTTCATTCTTTTACCTCTAGAATCTCATCCTTCTGCACTGAAAGTTCGGTGGCATTTCGAGCAGTGAAGTCATACTGAATTTTGGCGAATCTTTTGCTCTGTGTATCCCTGAAAGAAAGATATAAAGGGGTTTTCACTGGTCTCCTCTACATGACAAAAGCATAATAGCCTCACGACTGTCATCTGCCATAGCATGCTTAAATCAGCAGATAAATGGCTTGGCTTGGCTAGGGCCAGGCATGTTACTCTACTCTGGCCCACAAATTGTTCAGATCAGGTTAACATTAACCTCTTCTAGGCCAACAGAACAAGTCTTCATAATAAAACCAAAGACTATCAAATAAAGCTGTGAAGTTCAGTAAAAGGGATCTTTTGAACTATTCTAATTCAAAACACAATTCTTAAATACTTTTCTAAAAATATGTCAGCTGAGCCTCAGGCAAGCCTTCTATAAATTAATGATTACAGCTGTATGCCAAAGGAGGAATTTTGGACCTGGAATGAGCATTTGGTTCCTTTTACCATCACCCACTGGCTGAAGGAGAAAGTGCCTACTGCCTGCAGAGATCTCCAAGAAAATCTTCTGTGCAGGCACAACCATTCTTTGTACTTTGAAGTAGCCAAGCTAAGCGTCAGCTCAGGCTTTCTGGTGCTTGGCTGTTAAACTCTCCTCCTGTGTGCTTATACGAATGTTTAACCCTAATCTTGGTTCTGGTATGATCAAGACTAGCATAGCATATCCCAGAAGGTTAAAGGGCTGGAAGTTTTCTAAGCACTTAATGTCTGCATTTGCCCTGTTGGGTGGGAGGCAACTACTCCAGGAATGTTCAGTGCAGGATGTGAGGACCTCTCTGCCTGTAAATTGCAGATTAGCAGTGCAGAAAATCCTTCAGTGTTTAGGGTTTGGCACAATCCAGTCTGCTACCTTTTGAATGTGGAGGATTACAGGCATCCCATGCAGGGAGGGAGCAATGTGGAAGTGAAAGTCACCTCTGGACTCCTGCTGCCCTGCAAAACACTTAGCCCATTGCATCCATGCAAGTGCGGTGCCTCAGAGTGCAAGGAGTAGAGACTGAGGTGTCCCGGGATCCTTTGCAGGGTGGTGGGGCCAGTCTCTTCCCCTCCCACCCCCCAGAATGCCCCCCAAAGGCCCCAGTTGGTTCTTTTCACGCTGGCTCTGTGGGCAGAGGCAGGGCACTGGGCGTTCCGGGTCCAGCCCCAACTTTCAACTAGTCTGACCCAGTCCGGGTCCCTTGAAGCCAATTGTCCCAATCCAGTTAGGCAAGCGGGCAGAACCAGGCCTCCGCATGCACGGCGGACGCGCAGTCACATCACAAAGCTCCTCCAAGCCCTGGTGAGGCAGCGAGACGCATCCTTCGGCACAGATGTGCATGCCTGCATGCCCTCCCCTCCACTCAGGGCCATCGATAGCTACATGTCACTTCCAAGAAGAACATATTCTCACAAACCTATCGTGCAATAACCTCTAACCACAAGTCTTTAAGACACCATGGGACTATTTCCCTGTATTTTTCTAGTACAGACTAATATTTTCTAGTACTGAGTAATACTTCTGGAATAAGCACACGACTCATTAAATATGACTAGAACTGGATCAGGCCCGCTGTATTCTTTGAGGCTGAGATAACAGACTTGTACTTTTATTTGTGTGGTTTTAGAGCACCGTGCAATGTTATATTTCACAAGCATGCATGAAATTAATAATGATTAATTTAAAACTGTGGGCTTTTAAATTTTTGGAGTTATACCAACATTTCGCTATGGAAACATCTCTCAGGTTTTTATAAGCATTGCTTTACTTTGAACTTCCAGGTTTTCCTGCAAAGCCAGTTAAAGTCCCTCTAGTACTTTTAGAAAAAGAATCTCGAAGTTTTGTCAGATGACAATAACAGATAGGCCCTTTATATTAATGTCTGTGGTAGTTATGAGAATTCTCATATGCCTTCCGTTTTGTTGATTTGGGACAACATTTGACGTTACACTCAATAAAACCTCATAGTTGGGTAAAAGATGAAGTCACAAAGATCCCTTTGTAGACTGGGATTTGGACTCCAGACATGGGGAGTTTTAACAGGACAGGAAAGGAGCTGGTAATCTTCTCCAACAGCTATGCTCAAAGAAGTTGGAAATAAGCAGGACAAGGTGAACTGTGTCTGAAACATGTAAATGACAGACTGAGTCAATGGAAAAAATGATTGGGACCGGTAGAATTCAGGAAAGCTTCTGCCCTCCACAACCCCGTAATTAGGAGCACAACGCACCTTGGAAGAGGATGCGTAGGTACCACTGACCCTCATTTCCTCAGCGGTGGAGAAAACGTGTGATTAACATTATTGGGTTTGCTTTTCCTAACTGTGACTGGTACCTGACCAAGGCAAGAGATTCAGTAAAGATTTTTCCAGTCAATCACTGTTTGTAAAGGCCCAGCTGATAGGTTTTTGTTTGGGCTGCCAATATCTTTCTTTGATGGGGTTTGTATGAGATGGGAACCCACTGTGGGTTGTTCTATCATCCAAACCCAGGCAAATGACCCCATCAAAGTTTGGGGAATCAGGTGCTGAGCCCCTTGGCAAGAACGGCAAAAAGGCCTTGCTGTTGCTGCCAAGGGTCTCCCAGGCAAGTGCCAGCGCCAGCGTGATGGGTGTGGTGCCCGCTGAGCTGGGAACCCTCTTCCCCCATCTGAGCCGGACTACCCACTCCAGGGAGTTTGCCAGGAACTGGTGAGGAGGGGGCATGCAGAAGCTCCGCCACAACACCTTTATTATATTCCGTTCATTTCCTGATGCTTCAGCAGGTGCCAGAAAATAAGCGGAGCTAAAAGGACCAGCCAGGGAGCCCAAAGCAGCCCAGAGGGCAGTGCCTCTCCTCCACTGCAAGCTGCCAGCCTCCACCTTTTCTCTGCTGTCCCCGCTCCTAGGGAAGGCCAGGCATTGCTTCCTCCATGCCTCTGTGTGCGCTACTCTGGACAGACGGTGAAGCAGCCATGCCTGGCAGCCGGCAGCCCCGCGGGACCCCTGGCTTGTCCTGCCGTTGTCGCCTGCCCTCCACTGCTGGCCTGACAGGTTCGGTGCTGCCACCGCAGTGCCACCTTCTCTCCTCTTTCTCCTTACTGCCTCTTGAGCCTGCCCTGATGGACACACCGGGGGCAGGCCTAGAGGCATGGAGGGGCGGGGAGGGGTCTCTCAATCAAAAGCAAACGCTTTTAAAAAGGGAGGCAGAGGCATCCGCTCCAGTGGGTCCTAGCAGTCTGGCCACACAGATGCTGAGCCTGGGCCTGAGCCTGCACTCAGCATATTCAAGTCCGTGCACCAGAAATTACCTATTGACGGGTTGCGCATGGGGAGCAAAGGCATCCACAGATTGCATTTGATCAGGCATCTGGGCAGGCTTCAGGTTCCGGCTGGGATAGCCATTGGGTGATGATGGCTTGGGAGGAAAAACAGAGAAAGGACATTATGGATTTGGCAGTGCCTGGAGAAGATGCACACACTTATCAGTCAAAGGCATGACCATGAAATGTGGGACCGGAGCTTAACCTTTTATTTATTTATTTATTTTGGGAGAAGGGTTGCCGGAGCTCTGCCATGAGAAGCAGGGATTGGGACCTCTCCTAGTGCAAAGGAGAGGACTCAGGACAAGTGACTCACCTGCCAGAGCAAAGCAGATCAAATAGCCGTGAAAAGGTATGTCTGCAAAACGGGGTGGGCATCAAAGGAAAACTTTGCAACAGGGACTGTCATCAGCAATGAATGCTGAACAAATAAGCATCCCCAAATTAAATGTGGTGTTTTCAAGTCCTGCTATTAGTTATGCAGAAGCATTTTTAGAAAACCCAACAACATGGATTCCTTTTCAGTTGAATTATGTGATTTTTAGTACAAACATTTTCTTCCACCGTTCTCTTGAAGCAGGTGATTGCAAATGGTAACTTTTCAAGCAACATTGGAAGCTACATCATGCCAGGTCGTGCCTGCGTATGGCACAATTTAAGTAAGTCTTTAAATAAGCTTATTTATATTGTGTGAACCAGCTCAATAAACCAGTCAGGAATAATAAGATGAAGTGGGCATTTTCTATACACCTCTTACAAGTCACAAATACATTTATTTACATGGAGGCTTGCAGAGTATTTGGCTCATAATTTTAGTTGATTTTTTTTAAAATTAAGCCCGAAACTCACCTCTTCTTGCAGGCCCATATCCGTTTCCCAAGGGGCTCCACGGAAGATTTCCAAGGGTGGCTCCCATCCATTGCGGAACTTCGGAATATAGCTTGGGATGTTGGCATCTCTTGGCCATTCAGCCCTTAGGACAAGCATAAGGAAGTTTATTTTACACACAGTGAGTGCTGTAGGTAATACTTTTTTATTCTAGGCAATAGCAGCCATTCTCAGTTTTTCATACATATTTTGAAAATCAGCATTCTGCCTTCGAGATGCTCACAAATAGCCATCAATGACTATATAAAATCGGAGGTAGATGATGTTCCTCCAGTAAGTTGAAGATGTTTTAAGAGAGATTACTATGCATGGTGTGGACATTCCTTCCACACTTTGACACTGATAAACAAGTACTTGAACGCATGTCTCCCTTTGACATGAGGCTCAACACCCAGGACTTTCCTCGAGGTGCTAGTGCAAGGGAGGCTCAGGGGGCAGCAACAAGGGGGAGGACTTTCTCAGTGGTGACCCCCTTTCTCTGGAATGACCTCTCCACTGAAGTCTACCTGGTGCCAACCTTGCCAGCATTTCAGTGCCAGATTAATACAACTCTTAATTCTGAAGCCTTTGAAGATATACATGGATATTGAAAGGTTTGAGATTACCCATCCCAAATGTTTTACAGGACTACTGTTCCACATATGTTGTTTTAGTTGTTTTTAATTTTGTTTTAAATTTTTTTAAAAAAATTTCAGAACACACCATGAGAAGGTAAGACTTGCCAGAGAAGGCAATTACGCTAGGGAAAGCTGAAGGCATAAGAAGAAAAGGAAGACCAAGTAAGAGATGGATTGGCCCCAGAAGGGAAGCCACAGCCTCGAATTTAGAACAGCTAAGCAGGGATGTCACTGATAGAACATTCTGGAAGGTTTTCACTCATAAGGTTTTTAAACAATTTTTTTGAATTGTTATATTGTTATTATTTATGTATTTATGTATCCTTTGTGAGCCGCCCCAAGGCTTTGTTGTGATGGGGGTGGCATAGAAATGTTTAAAATAAATAAATAAATAAATAAATAAATAAGGTGGCCATAAGTTGGAACCAACATGATGGCACAGTACGACGACAATAATATTTGGGAAAGATTTTATAGTATTGTTTTTATGAACTGAACTTTGGTTATGCGGTGGTACAGAAATAAATAAATAAATAAAATTTCAAACTGTTAAACTAAGTTAATTTGGCAATGAGGTGGGATGTATATTCTACACCAAGGGAAGCAATTACCTTCCACCTTCTACTAGCAGCTTTGTATTGTCAATCTCCAGTCTTAATTGCAAAGAAATACTGAAAAGCACAATTGTCTGCTTCTGAGGATCCCTGATAGGAAGAGGTTTTGTGTTATGAAGAGTTTTGGTATGAGAGTGGGAAGGACGCTAGATCTGTCCTTAGAATTTAGGCCAATACTGCGAATAGCCTGGAAGGAGTTGGGTGCGGGGCCGTTCCTGCAGGCCATGCTTCCAACACCCCCGTGTGTTCCGGCCATGTCCCGCCTCACCCCTTCAGTTCAGAGGCTGCGTGTTGAGAGCGGAGATCTGAACGGGAGCTCTGCTCATGGTCCTTCGAGCACAGCAAGGTCTCCAGCATGATCGGCAGTCCTGACTGCATGGAGAGGCTCTGCTCAGGTTTGATCCCCCATTCGGTATGGCAGGACTCCCCTTCAGGTCTTGCAGCCCAGCACAGCTGAGTCTGAAATGAGATGTGAGGGAATCGTGTGTGCTGGAAAGAAGGTAGCGCAGCCTGCATGCCCAGCCTGGTGTGGTTAGCACCGTTTTCTGACACTAGTTAATGCTTCTGTTCCTAGGATCTCTCCGCGGGCTTTCCCTCTGGCCAACTTCAGAGCCTTTCCTGGTTTGCTCTTTGGTCCTGCTTAAGCTTACCTTGACCTTGTCCACGTCTCTCCTAAGGATTCCCACAAAGCCATCTCCTTTGGTGTAAGATGTCCTTTCAGGAAATCTGTGGTATCTTTGGAAAGAAGTGGGCTGAGGATACTCCTCGCAAGATCGGGACCTCCACAACTGTTGACAATCTGGAGTGCAAAAGAGAAATCAACCACAGAAGAGAATGTCTACCGATGTTTCAAAATATTTGAGGGGAGGCTGCTTTCTAACTCTTTACTTAAAGCAATATATTGAGAAGCTAATGAAAGGCTTGGAAAAAATGTCAGGAAATGCCAAATGCCAGTCCAGGTTTTGGGGTTTGTAAGCATGTCAGCCTTTCACTGCATTAATTTGAGCTATGAACACTCTGAGCAGTTTGATGAGCCAATTCCAAAATAATACTAGAATATTGTATATTCACAGGATGGTTTCTGGAATGGATCCTAGAAGATAGGTGTTTGCCCTGCACAGTGTGGGACAGGCATAGGCAAAATACATTGCCTGCACCGACCTGCAGTCTTGGCAAGGATAACATGGAGAAGAGTTCCGCCTTAATCTTCATTTCATAAACAAGTTCTTCTGCCAAATACTTCTACATCTGGCCTAGTTCCTATTTTTGGGAAAGCATTTATGGCCAAAGATGAGCTACACAAGCCACATCATGGTGCCATTCCATGATATTTAAGAGTTTGGTTGTTTTTAGCAACAGCTGGGTGATAAATGGGAAGTAATGTACTCTCCAGGTTTTTTTAAGCACCAGATTGACTGGAAGCTCACAGCATATCTACCTTTTGTGTATCCATGCTTATGGAATGGAATATACTTAGGAAAAAGCAGATCCAAATTTATTCCTGCATTGATCTTATTCTGGACTGAGGACAAAGGCACCTTGGGGCCAGTCTTCGCTAGCATTTTATCCTGTCCTTGCAACATCCAGCTCACATGCAAGGCACACAGCACATTCCCCAAAGTGGTGTCCAGCCAGTATTCCTGGTTTTCCTAATCTTTATTCTATTTTAAGTGCTTACAATAGAATAAAGATTAGGACATTTCCACACACAGTAAAAACATGCATGTCATTCTAGCAGTATCATAATGCTTCCAAGCAAGAGTGTCCGTAAAGGCACAGAACCTGTTTTGCAACATTTTCCAGTACCCTTTCCCCCTCCAATGTAAGATCTACACACCTTTCTCCTCCCTCGTACTAATTTCCATGGAGCTGCAGACAGGAAATCTATGACGTGGGGAGGGGTATTTGTCACTGTGCACCTATACAGCTGATACAGCTGCACAGCATTCAATAACCACACCCCTTCTGGTTAAACCTCCATTTCTGCACGGAAGGGAAGGTGTGCAGGCAGGCAGGCAGGCAGGCAGGCAATAGACTCAGACCAGAAGAGCAAAAGGAAATGGCAGCCTGCCTTCCCATTGCTCCTGCAGCTGCTGCACTGCACTGTGACACGACACACGCTTGCACTGTAAACAGAGACGAAAAAATGCAAGGGGCCATCAAGCCCGCCCTTCTTCTGCAACTCGGAGCATTTATATGTGGCATTTATAACGCAACTACACGATACATTTAGGGGACACTGCCCTGCATCTGTTACTAGATGCTCCCCAAGCAACAGCTGTATTATAAACACAAATCACAGAACGGGTACAGTGATCTCTGCATGTAAGCCACATGCAGAAATCGTTCTCTGAGGCCCCGCTGTGGCCTTGGGGAGGCAGCTGGTGGAGTTCCTACTTCTCTGGCTTTGAAGGGGTTAAGTGGATGCCCAGCCTTCAGAACCGCAGGACCCCAGTGGGACTCCAGTTAATCCCCAGACAACACTGGGATGCTGCAGGATTTCCCCCGTAATTCCCCGCAAGTGGAACTTTAATGGGAAAGGTGTCCTTAGCTGGGTTATTCCTCTCTAATTCATCAACTGGTTGCTTGCTGGTGACCATATTGGCAATGTGTAAAGAAGCTTTTAGAAATTATACTTAAGGTTATACCAGTTCCAGTGGTCCAAAAAGGAAATGCACTAATTCCGAAGCGCTTGGATTCTGGATATGCTTCCTCAGTTTTGCCTGAAAAGTAAATTAAATCAGGTTGATCTGAATTTGTGGATGTTGTGTTCCAACATATCATTATTTCCTTATGTTTTCCTGGCAAAGGAATCAAACTAGGAAAGCAAACATGTTTTGTGATCATACCAAGGCTTGAAATAAGGATAACAGAAGAAATCAGTGGTGTGTTCAGCTAACATAAAAATCCAACTTAGCCACCCACCCTCCTGTGAAACTGAAACAAATGAAAAATCATTCAGGGTCTATTTTTCAGGAGGCTGTAAATCAGGTTTGAAAACCTTGGCTGTAAAGCTTTGGATTACTCCAGGTCATGGTGATGGTGGTGGCGTCTATCTTTTTTTAACCCTTTAGACCAGCTTTCCCCAACCAAGCATCCTCCAGTTGTTTTGGACTTCAACTCCCATCAGCACCAAGTATAGCTAAGGGACAGAGATGATGGGAGTTGTAATACAAACATCTGGAGGGCACAAGGATGTGGAAGACTGCATCAGACACATTCTCGGAAGATGGGAAGACTGACAAATATGATCAATCCGTCAAGTCTTTATTTGGTCCACAGACCTTTCCAGACTGACAAATATAATCCATGGTAGTACATGCAGCCTCCATGTACAGAGGCAGTGTTCCAGATCTGAATTCCAGATGCTGAGGTCAAACAACAGGTGCCATCAACTCTTGCATTACTGCATAGCATTTCTATACCATCTGAAGCAGTCTGGGCAGTTTACAAGGATTAAAACCTTAAAAGAACATAAACATACAACCATATCCACAGACAACACATATATGTAAAACAACTTTAACAAGAAACAAGAAAAATCATGGGCTTGCAAGGTTCCAGAGGCATCTGGCTAGTTACTGCTGAAAGAGGATGTTGGATTGAATAGCTCTGGTCTGGAGCAGAAGTACAGGAATTTGTGTTCTGTAATAATAGCTGAAAACCCTGGGACACTGCCCCAGGAAATTATCTAGTGGATTTTAACACAGATGAGACAATATAAAGTCTAGAGAATTCGTGATATCACTGACACAACACCATCAACATGCTTGGCAATCCACTGTGCAACATACGCCAAAACAAACCCATATTTGCCTACATGTCTGTCTTGTGGGGTTTCCACTGGGGTATCTGATTGACTGCTGTGGGAATAGAATCATGGACTACACAGGCCTTCAGACTGGTCCAACAGGACTCTCTCTGTGTTTCCAAGGGAGTTCCAGTCAAAATATTAGTCAAGATTCTTAAGCTCATACTTAAGAGTTTGCTTTAGTCATAGACCTGGGCTTGTCATACTGCAGTTGCACTGCTAGCAGGCCGCGTAGAGGTGCATCCACAGCCTCAAATATTTGTATCTGAAAAGGGCTGGAGTGCAAAGAAAGAACAATGGCAGGGATTTACAAGGATGCCAAATGGATTGTGTTAGCAACTACGAGCTGCTCAGATGAATGCAGCTTTTATTTAGGTTGCTTAGGATTTGCTACAGTGGCCAACAAAACACCTCTTTGTTACAAAGGACACTGTGGCTGCTCAGCGTATGACAAAACTCAGCACAGCCTACCTCTTGCTAGTTAACTGTGTGCGCTTTATGTGATATTCCAACAACTGAGGGCCTGCAACTTTATAAGCAGGAGCCAATGGCTTATGGCATTGACATTCCTTTCATTCTGTCCGAACGAAAGCATCATCAGAGGGAAATGGCAGAGGTCATGTGTGGCACACAAATGAAGGATGCTTAATGGCTTGCACAGGCAATCAGGCTATTCGCATCCCAGCAATAGTCTTCCCTAGTGGTGCAATCTCTGCATCAGGATTTTATAGCGCTACCCGCAGTCTGCATGTTATTCAGCTCTTGTATGACCATTGGCTATACCATGTGTGTTGGAAGAGCTACTTAGCTTCCAGGGAGCAGGGCACAGTCTGGGTTCAGGAGGAAAACCAAGACTCTGAAGAAAAGCTGGTGTCAGTTTCCCCATGTGTGCGATGCCACATTTTAAAAATATCTATCTGTCAGTCAGGGGAGGCACGTGCCCAAGAGAACAATGGCAGTTTTCTGAGGGAGCAGCAGCAGTGCAAGAGACTGCCGTCAACAGCAAAGGACATACAGAGGTGTCAGAGCAGTACAGCAGTGGGACCAAGGAGAGGGGAGGCCGTGGTCCCCTCCACACTGGAGGCATCTGAGGGGCAGCTGGAGAGCCATCTGAGGAGGAAGCTTTACCGTGGGGCCCTGCGCTGAGCAGGGTAGGGCCTGATAGCCTTCTGGCTCCTGCCAACTCTCCTCTTCTGTGGTTTTATGATGCATTTATTTTAACAAAAACAAAACTCCAGTGGAAAAGAGGAAAGGGGATGCTTTACCCTTTCCTTGCAAGCTGTTTTTCTGGTCAGAATTTGCCCCAGCTGTTTTCCCTCCACACGAGGGGTGAGGAAGGTGAAATATGAGAGCCTCAGAGGAGTCTCAGAGGAAAGGACAAGACCTGGAGGCTGTGGAGGGCTGGTGAACAGAGTGCTGGCAGAGCAGTGCAGCCCGAAGGCATCTCCTAGAGTCGTTTCCCCACTTCTGCTTCTCCAGGGAACCAAAACGGAGAAGCCTGGACAATCCCCTGGTGGGCTGTTACTAAGGCGTTGTTCCTTGCTGCCAAACCCACCAAAGCTTTGCATGGCACTTCAGAACCGTTTCTCCAGCTTATGGCTATGGGTTTTGCACTATTAAGGCATAATTTGTGTAAATGTTAGTTTTCATATTCATTTACCTTTTAAAGATGTCATGATTTGCAAATATGAAAATGCAGCTACCCCCAATGAATCTTTTGAATATGGACTTGGTGAGCTTGACTAGAATTTTTCATATGCAAAAATAATTAAGGAGTTATATGGAGGATGGGATGGCACAGAAACTGTGTTTATAAATAGTAAACACATCAGCAACATTCTACAGAGGCCTATTGTATCAAATGTTTAACTCTGTCTATTGTTTCCTTTGTCTTGACACTGAAATGCAGTGATTTTCAGATTTAAAAGCATAATAAAAATCAGGTGGAGAACATCTTTCAGCTTGAAGGCCAAATTCTGTTCCAGTGACCTGTTGAGGGCAGGATCAACGGTAAAATGCTCCAGGACAAGAGGCAAAAAGGGTGGACCCAAAATATTAGCACATTGCAAGTTATTTCTATTTTTCCCAGTAACTAACCTTGAGGGACACATTTTGGCCTTTTTGAATGGGGGAAAACCTGAGGAAAGGTGGGAAACCATGAAGGGGGTTGGAGAGCAGGACTGGAGTACTAGGAGAGTCAAGATGTGGCTGGAGTTTTCTTGCCCCGGCATCACACTTCATTAATGCAGGATAGTGGCAAGAAGGATACAGATATATATTCCTGCCCTGCGGTCTAGACATGATGTGGTGCCTTTGCTTCTTACCAGGAGATTTAGTGCCAGCTTGGTTTTCTGGAAGCAGTCGATGAATTCAGCCTCACTTGGGGGTTTTGATCTCAAAGTCAGAACTCCCTCTTTAAAGCAAAGAGACAGAATTAACAATAAATTTGGTATCCGCTGCAAATTTGTTAATAGCGAAGAACAGGAAGAAGAAAAGGGATCTCCAGTTAATTGAATGGTATAAAGAAGTTTGGAATATAGTGGTTAATGATAAGTTGACATGTGAGATAAAGGTGAAAAAAGGATTGGTAAAGAAGAATGATTTTAAGAATAAATGGGTTATGTTTATTGAAGATGTATTAATAAAAGGGGAGGTAATAAACCCTCAAAGGATATACTGCAATTTTGGGTAGACGGGGGAGTCTCAGAAAGAGCTGGAAAATGAAGGAAAAAATAATTAGGCAGTCATGGTCCCAGTGGAGGGGTGCACTAAGAGTGATTTCTGTTTTTCAAATTTCATTATGTGTATTGAGTGTTTTTTCTTTATCATGTGATTTTTGTATTTGTATTGTATAAATTTTTTTTTAAAAAAAAGCAAAGAGACAAGCAAACAAGGTAAAGAAACAAGGAGAGGTAGCAGAAGTACTCCAGGGAAGATGTCTGACTGTATTCTGGAGTGAAGGCACAATTCTATGCATGCTTAATCAGCAAAAAGGCCTACAATTCTTAGTGGTCCCCAGCTAAGCACAAAAATGAATGTTATTACTGCATGATGGGGAAACATTTTACTTCAGGGATAACCAGTCCCTGTATTCTTGAAAGTCACTCTGTTCCTCAGAGAAGAATCTATGAGGCCATAACCATCCAACATTTTCATTGATGTTGAATCTTGAAAACCAATTCCTGATTTTTCCATCCTGCTGAGATGGTATGAGGTCACGGAGAGTGCTGAGAAAAAAAATATATTTTTTTCAAGGAGCAAAATGGTGTTGGTTCTTTCCCATTCCATAAGGGGCATGAAGCAGAACTACAATAAAAGCTATATGAAATAAACATGGAGTCTCTGGTTCCAGTTGAAAGTGTGAGGAGACTTTTTAGTCTCAGCTTAACACATGTTGGGACCCTCAGGGACTGACTGAAGTTGCTTCAGGAGCCAAATATGTCCCATGGGACTCTAACTGATCCCTACTCCCTAATCTCTTTCAGGATGTTCCAAACCAAAAAAACATGCAGACTTGTGTTGAATAAGAACTGAGGCTGCAAACCTATGTACACTTTCTGGGAAAAAGCTCCACTGATCAAAGTGGGACTTTCTTCTCAATAAACATGGATAGTCTTGAACTGCATAAAGTAGTTTTCTATCTAGGCTCCTGTCGTCCAGCTCTTTATACCTGCTGGTGCCTTCTTCTTGTTCTTTTTTCCTTTCTTCCTCTGGTTCAGCTGTCTGAATGCTTCTGCTGCCTTCTGAAGCTTGGCAACAAACAGCTCAATGTCATCAAGAGTACAGTTCAGGATTTGCTGCAAAGACACATAACAAAATCAATACACAAATGGTCAGAGGCTTTGCGTGTTCTCCTCAAACGCATTCTGTTCTTCCTTACCAGGGGCCAAAGAAAAGAACATGTTTATTATATTTAACATGCACATCTTGGGTTATACACACAGCAGCAAAGGGGCAGTCTTGAAACCATGGGGGTGGGGAGGAGACATTTCTTTCTGATAACTCACATCCAAGGACTGAGTATGGGTTGTGTGTGGGTTGTCATTGAACCATGGGTTGTTGTTGGCATCTGGTTGTCTTGTTGTCTGAACCCAGCCCAGGGGGAAAAAAAACAACAGGGTGAACAACTCACAGTTCACGGCCCAACAAAAAAATCATGGGTTCTCTTCATGGGTTTTTTTGGCACTGTTAAGAAGCCATGGATTGTTAACAGTGCAGGGTTCACAATCAGGGTTCAGACATTCTATTCCTGATTGTGGGTTATTGTGTTGCCAGAACCCACTCTTCCTCTTTCCCTACCATAATCCGAACAAAAATCGCTTCTATGAAGCTGCTATTCTATGAACTGTCCAGAGAGCTTCGGCTCTGGGGCAGTATAGAAATGAAAAGATGATGATGATGATGATGGTGGCGGCATTTTGACAGATGCCAATAGGGGCTTTTCTCAAAAGGCAAATAGCAGCTTAGGAGAGTGATTTGTCTTTAGGATCTTGTCCACAAGAGTTAACTCTGCCCATCAACCCCAGTCCAGAGGTTGCTTAGTCTTTGCTGCAGTTTGTTATTTGCAGAATGTTAACTGCATTCACACAACAACATCACATCAGGTTTTACTCTAAAAACAAAACAAAACTGACATTCAAATTTATGACTAAAACAGAATATGCTGCCCTAAATCCTTATCACATCATATAACACTTTAAAAAGCCTATTATCACTAACCGTTTCTTTCTCAATCTTCTGTGCAAGAATTGCCCTGGACTCTTCCTGTTCCTGAGAATTGGAATTTCTTCGATCATATTCTGTGAAAAACAGAAAAAGAACACATTAGTTATCAATGAGGAAGCAGGAGTAGATGCAAAATATCTGCCTTTCAAAAACTCATCTTCATTGCAGTAATTATTATTAATGTACAGTCAGTCGGTCAAATTCCCACTTTGTCAAGGGAAGCAAACAGAACAATTTTGAAACTAATGTAGCTAATTAAATATCTCAGAAGGATGAGTCATCACGGGCACTTCCAAATGAGGTTTTACCATGCCTTAATCCTGCTTTTGTGCACCAATTTTTATGAAGAGTCCAGACAATTGTGTTTTAACTTTCCCATGTTTTCTCATTGATTTTTCCTGTCTTTTCCCCATGACATGGGAAATCCATTAAGGTCAAAAAGACAGAACAGTTGCATGGAACAGTTGCATGGAACAGTTGCGTCTAGGAGCCGCCCCCCAGAAGCACCCCATTTCCATTACTGCAATCCTTACTGGTATACTTGACTTGCTTGGTTGCCAGAGAGCAGCCTTGACTTAGACAATTCATCTAGCATGATTTGGCAGATCTTCCATCTTATCATCTTTTGGATAAGAACTGCAGTGGGACCGTTTGCTTGAGCTCAACCCCTACAAGTACCCAGTGCATATCTTCTTTTTTCCGTCCCGCTTTGCCATGACACAGAATCTGTTTGCTTTGGATACAATACCCTTGGAAGAGGAGGGTCAGGATGCCAGGGGCTGGAGGTCAGATGACACTGAGCCTGCTGCATCAGTCTGGACTCATGCAAGCAGTTCCTCCTGCTTACCCCAACTACCCTGATATCATGGAGGGACAGTTCAGCTAGTTTCCATAAATGCAAGGGTTAGTGATTAGCAGTGGGGGAAATGCTGTCCACCCACACTGAAGAGACGTGGTGGCAGCTTGCAAAATTTCACACGTAAGCAGGGCAGAAACAAAGAGCAGATGCAACGAGCAGCATGGGGTTGTAGGCAATTCTCCCACCCATGCAACTGTGGCTAAGGTGGCCATCTGTTTTCCATAATCAGGCCTGATCTTGGGATTTAAGTCCCATGCAGGTATGCAAAAGCTGAACAGGGAAAGCTTTCTCTGGCAAAATAAAAAGATAGCATCAATGGATTAAGTTTCACTTGCTAAATTGCTGCAGGGCAGGTGCTGTTGTAGGCACAAGAGCAAGGCCAGAACAACAAGGAAAAGTTAGTAACTCTCTCCATGGCTCCATCAAAACCTCACTGACTGCCCAGGAAATCCCAGATTTATTTAGTGCTGGGCCTCCTGAAATTTTCCACCCAATGTTTGGGCAGAGGAGCTGCAGTGGGGATGATGGAACAATGATTTCACTGACTTTCTCCAAGCTGAGGAGGAATGCTCAACCATTTCTCACAGGCAGGATTCACCCCTGGCAGGGACTGTAGCACAGCGTCTTTCTCTTATCGTAAGGATGTTTGGTTTCAGAGGGGAAGGTTGTGCTGCCCCTGCAAGTGGCCAAAGCATCAGCTGTGCCGGTAGGCTGGCTCCCCATCTGCATCCGTCACAACGCAGGTGTGTTTTGCTGGTGTGGGGAGCGGTGTCCAGCGCCAGGGAAGACGTGGAGCTAATGCTAAGCCAAAATCTGCCTTCTCATTTCCCGAAGGCCTGGTAGGGCTTTTCATTGTCCCCTTCACTTCCACAGTGCTTTGCCATGGTGGGTGTCTCCTTTCTGCTGCACATCTCTGCATCGCTCAGCAGCTTCCCAGGTGCCTGTGCTTCCTGACTGGAAAAAGCCTCGTGGGAGGAATGAATTCATGATCCCTTCCCATGAAGCATCAGGAACTGAGGGGGATGCTGCAGGCTGCTGAAGAGATGCCTGTGCAATGACAGACAGAACATTTGGATGTTCCTTGGCCACCTCACCGGTGGCTGAACTCATGCCGACATCTCTGAATTTTTTTCTCATTTGGATTTATTTTTGAAAGCAGTTTATTTCCTATCAAACTGAATGAGAATAGTCAAAAAATGGTTTCCCACCCAATCCTGAATCTAATCACAAAGGATCTGGCCACAAAGCAATAGGGCAGAAGAGCCCCGGGTGCATGGTAGTTCCTCGCCATCCATCAGCCTTCCAGCAAGCAAAAAGGTTGCCTGCTGTAAAGGAGAAAGGATGAAAATGATGAGAGATGAACAGAATGAATAGGAAATCAGTCGAGGGGTTAAAATAAACAGAGAACTGCCCAATGGCCCCAGGCTGCCCGGATTTCTGCATGACTGCTGCTTTATGCATATTTATACAGCACTCAGAGCAACTCAGTAGGAACTTGTACAACTCTCATTAGAATCCTTTTTGCTTTACAAAGGCGGGTTGTGGGGGAAGCATGGAATGTGCATAAGTGCCTCTGCCATAATACATTCGGAGCCTGATGTAGAAGCGACCCATTGAAATCCAAGAGGCAGATCAATCAATATTCCAGCAGGGCTGCATCTTGTTGCCTGCGGTGTTCCAGCAGCTGCGGGAGGAGGGGGAATTCTGTCTTTGCAAAGGAAGCATGTCTCCAGGATATTTCTAAAAGCTTTTCAGTGACACACAGCAAGGATTCTGACAAAAGAGCCAGAATGCAGAAAATATCATCTCTAAGCTAAGGAATGAAGCTACTTGTTGAAACAGGTTTTTTGTATGCCTAAAACAGGTATTAAACAAAGGGGGTTATTATATTCCATGGTACATGCCAGGTTCCACCTTAATAGATTGTCAAAAACAGCATGAAGTTGCCTCTGGCTCTGCCATATTCAACAGAGCTGCTCTGCTGATTTCCCAGAGTTTGTTGTCTACAGTCCATCAGCCCAGTCACTGCTCAAGGATGATGGGAGCTGAAGTCCAACAACAGCCAGAGGGCCACAGATCCCCTAGCCTCAATATATAAGAATGACATTAACATATTCATAAATTATGCAGTGAACAATGAAGTTAGGAATAAGTCTAATGAGGGAAAACAGCAATCTTACCATAAAATGTTATTTTTATCAAAACGCAGCAAGCATTTTGCATATATTTTACATAGTAGGGGCCCCTGTGAGGTCTTGGGTGCCAACCCTGCTCCTTCTTGCTTCTGGGTGGGCTGCCAATCTGCAAAAGTCATCTTTCAAGCCATCCTGTGACACACGAGGCTGGTGGATGTTTGTGCCCATCTACTGGCTGAGCTACTGCATAGCAAAGCCATTTGGGGCTCATAACACATAAACAAATATCCATCTCCCATAATAGTTCTACATTATTTTCCTTATGCAAAGCTAGATTGTAAAGCAGCCTTGTTGTTTCTCAGGACCAGGGAATCAGCAGTTTTAACTAGCAGTTCTAGGGGGAACATGTTTTCCATCCATCTTGAGCTGCTTTAGACATGTTTTTCAAAAAGAATCCATGCATAGAAGAGTAAACAATAAGGACAATAAAGGGAAAGCTTGATGTGGTTAACATCTGCCTGCCAGGCAGAAGATAGTGGCGGACAGCTCAGTGTAAATGTCAGCCTCTGGTGCACGGTTGCTAGGAAGGAGGCAAACTCCACACTGGGCATAATGAGGAATGGAGTTGAAAATAGGACTGCCAAGACCTTAGTCTCCTTATACAAATCCTTGGTATGATCACACTTAGAAGACTGTGTCCAGTTCTGGCTGCCTCACCTAAATAAGATTGCCCTGCATAAGAGTATCATTGAATTGGGAAAAGTACAGAGAAGGGCACTGAAAATGATCAGGAAGATGGAGCAGCTCCCCTTTGAGGAATGGCTTCAACAACTGGGACTGCTCAACTTAGAAAAAAGAGGAGTAAGGGGGGACATGAGAGAGGTGTTTAAAATAATGCATGGCGTGGAGTGAATGGAGAAGGAGACATTTTCCTCCCTCTCCCCTAATCCTCAAATCAGGATCATCCCATGAAACTGATTGGGGAAAGGTTTAGGAGAGTATTTCTGCACAAAAAAACAGCTGAACTATGGAATTTGCTGTCATGGGAAGTAGTGATGGCCACCAGTGCGGGTGGCTTTAAAAGGGATTGGACAGATTCATGAGGGAGGAGGCTACTAGTGGCTGCCGGCCTTGCTAGCTTATGTGCTAACACTTTTACTAGAGGTGGCCTGCCTGCCTGCACCAGTTGCTGAGGAGCTGGGCAGGAGGAGGTCTTGCCCCCATCCTGCTTGAGGGATCCTGTGGGCAGCTGGCTTGCCAGCGTGCGTACGGCAGCTGGAGCAGATGGACCTTTGGTCTGATCCCGTGTGGCTTCTCTTACGTTGTTAGGGCCTCCTGGAGGCCAGCACCTTTGGAGTTCCCTACTGAGGAAGGTAAGGTGGGCCCCCGCTCCGCTGCCCTTCTGCCACAGGCACAGACGTTTTGAATCTCGCAGGCCTTTGGCATGTAAGCTGGTCTGCTGGGTTGGGCACAGTTTTATTATTTTGCTGCTGTGTTTTAATTGTGTTTTTAAGGTATTCGCTTTAACCAAGTCAAAGTTTCAACCAAGTTTATATTTTACAAACGTGGTTCTGCTTATTTGTCATTGCAACAGCATTTCCTTGGTGAAAAATGGGGTAAAAAGTAATCAGTTAAGTAAATAGATAAATGCAAACTCCCGAGGTGCATGTTCATGTGAGAGCCAGTGTGGTGTAGTGGTTAAGAGGGATGGACTTTGACTCAGGAGATCTGGATTCTAGTCCCCACTCAGGGCCATCTTAACGCATGGGCCTGATGGGCACTTGCCCGTGGGCCCCATACTAATCTGTGTCTGTTAACCCTTGGAAAATTGGGAAGCTTCCAAAATTAACAGTAGTTGTAGTTGTCGTAGGGGCCCCAGTACACTGCTTTGCCCGGGGCCCATAATGCTGTAAGACGGCCCTGTCCCCACTCAGCCATGAAATTCACTGGGAGAGTAAATGCCTCTCAGCCTAGCCTACCTCACAAGGTTGTTGTTGTGAGGATAAAATGGAAAGGTGGTGAACTGCCTTGGATTCCTTGGAAGTGGAAGAAAGGTGGGGTATAAAAGGAGGAAAGGCACAGGGATAGGTTATTTCTCTATTTCAGTGTCTGTAATCTTTACATTTTTAAGTGTTTTATTCCATCCTATTTATGCATCAGTTGGCAACATTCAAAACCTGCATGAAAATGTGTATATGGATTTATCTGCCTGAAAATGCATGCATTTTCCTCCAGTGCATGCATTTTTGTGTGTATTTTGAGTGGAGAGCTGCATCACAGTTCTGAGCAAGATAAATGCACATATTGGTTTGAAAAGTGTAAATTATGCCAGTTCATATTAAGATGTGAAGTCGGTATTATACCACCTATTAAAAGATGCAAACACCCCTTTTGGGCCCTTCCCCAACCTGGTGCCCTCCAGGTATTGGGCACTTCAGCTCCCACAGCTCCAGCCAGCATAGCTAATGGCTAGGAATGTGGGGAGTGGTAATCCAAAACATCTGGAGGGCACCGAAGTGGGCAAGGCTGCCTTGAGGCATGTCTGGCTGCAGGAAATATGTGTGGGCATATTCATGTTGACTTGCTTTCCTGGATTTTAACATGCACCAATGAATGGAAACAAAGGGCAGTGAAGCAGCACTGGCTGTTCTGCGCGAAGGAAGGCGACGCAAGGCTCCCGTGAACCCCTGGGTGGATCCTGGCCACACTCGCTGTCGGTCTGAACTGCCCAGTCCCTGCTGCCTCGTGTACCTGGGTTATTCTGCTGTGAGAGGGCAGCCGCTCGGTTCACATTGTTCTTCGGGTAGCCTCTTGGGTCATGCTGGAAAGAGATGGGAGCTGGCCCTTGAGGCGGAGGGAGGATGGATTGCCTCTGCTTTATCTTCTCCTGGTTAACCCTGCAGAGGAAGCCACACATCGTTCTGATTACCACGCTATTCTGCGGGTGGCACTAACCAAAGGGGATCAAAGAAGATCTTGTTTTGCTGCTTGACTGGAATATTTTATTAGACCATGTCCCCTGTTCCCTCCGGGGCATGAGAAACACCCAGTAGTGCCCCCCCGCAAAAAAATTATAAGCTGACCTCAAAAGTCCAGTGCCTGATACAGTTTGTGGCCAGCTCAGTCATTAGGCCATCTAAAAGCGTTTATTCTGCAATGTATATACATTACACAAATGCAACAGAGTTGTATATGTGGCTTGTGTATATGTTGCATATGCTGCCCAAACCTATATATGGGTTAATGCCAAGTAAGTGCCAGTACTCCATGGGGCACAATCGCTAACAAATACGGCACGTGCTTGCATAATCCACTCTAGTGAATGCCAATAGCACCTTCTGGTGTACCAAATTTTCTGGATAGTGCAGCATGGCAGTACATCAGGCCCCTGCTTCTGCTAGTCACCCTGCTTCTGCTAGTCAAATCAGGACTGGAGTGGGAAGGGCGATGCACTGGCTGCTGAACGTTTTTCCAGACTTCTCTGGCATTCACAGCTTCACCAGCTCTTGCCTACGTGCTTACAAGACTAACCCCACTCAAGACCAAGATTCTCAGCATGCTGGACTGAACTATATATCAAATCCTGCACTTTTCTGTGCTTGTAGCCTCATGCCGGTCTCTTTCAGGGTGTTTTATCTATCACTAAGACCTATTAAGATGATTTACATCCTTTAGATTAATGTGCATCAGAATTAATCTCTGTGACCTTCTCGTTTAGCTGCCAAAAGATGTTCACTCTGTATCTCCCTGGTTTCCCGGCTTACCTTCATTCAAATTGGTATGTTCAAATCCCACCAATAAATGAAGCCATGCATAATTTTGCTACTCTTTAATCCTAATATAGTCACATCCAAAGTGCACACCTAAAATGTCAATAGCCTAAAGAGGGATGGGAAGTTAAAACTGGGGCCGATCAAGAGCCTTGTGGATTATACGTGCCACTACAAGTGATGCTTCCTGTGAGGGCATGTGCTGGAACCTCCCTATTAGTAGTGGCCACTTACTTGAGTGTCTGCGGCCGTATCTTCTTTCCCAACTTTTGGTCAGAAAGTGCACTTTCTATGTCTTCATGAATAATTTCTGCCTAAAACACAAAATCAGGAGAGTCTGGAAAATGGAAACAGCTTGTGCAGCGAAGATAGACATGCATAACTGCCTTATCAATCAATGCAGCATGAAAATAAATCTGCACTGTGTAATGGCATGGCCTTTCATATTTTAATGCTGTTTTTATGCCAAGAACAAGCATACAGGCACAGGCTTGGTTTGCTTATAATACTAATCCATGGTTTATTTAATCCATGGTTTGTTGTATCCAGAGTTTGCTTGGCAGATGATAGAACAAACCGTGCTTTGTTTTCTCAGCCCCTTGCTGCTTTTTCCCTCTTCTCTCACCTCCAGGGCCAGACTCCAGCCCAGCAGGGCTCCCTTCTTGTCAGAAACAGTAGGAGAAGGCCCTCCCTCCATCCCTCCATCACCCAGGCTCTGCCTGCAAGGGACGCCCCGAGCATACCCAGAACTCCGAACAACAAGCACTCAGCATGCCACTGTTTTTAACCTCCAGTCGCAACCCGTGGAGATTTCTTGCTTTTGCTTTGCTCCCACCCTCAGCAAGGGAGAGAGGGTGAGGGCCTCCTGATTTACCTCCACCTCGTCGCAGTTGAAGAAGTGGATGTCAGGCTTGTGCTGCTCCGAGTCCTGACACACCAGCAGGAGGATGGAGGGGTAGCACAACTGGTTCTGCTCGACTCGGCAGTGCAGGACTGTTGGCAGGAGGAAGTCTTCCAGCTCTTCCTGAAAGGTAATAGGAGACAGAGTACAACACCAGTACTGAAAAACCCTCTGTTGCTGAATTCCGCCACTGTAACAGCCATTTCAGGGAGAAAACCACAGACATTGTAGCCTTTGGTCGCTTCACAGTTAGAGGTTTACAGACATTGTAAAATCCATTCTGCCTACACTTTGTAGATTGTCCTGGAGCTTTAATTCCATCATCCACGCCTTGACAGAACTGAACCTTACAAAAAAGCTGTTCATAAGCAAATTCCTGCAAGTGTTCTCCAAATATGCAGATCTGTAAAAAATGCATATTTTCACACTTTAGCCTGCATGGGGAAAATGTGCATTTTTGGTTGTTGCTTTTTACGTTTCATTTTATTCTATGACTAAATTTATGTGAAATTATGGACAGTCTGAACCATGATCAGTAAGTCTGTGGAAACTGCTCCAGTGGGGAAGAGTGGGGAATCTGCTAGGGATTCCTAGCAATCGAAGCTCATTTGAGTCTGTGGTGCACTTCTGCCTCCAGACAGCACCTTAAATCCATTCACAGGGGTTCCCGTCTCTCAAACACAGGGAGAGGAACAGAACAAGAACTGGCACCTTCTGAACAGAGGCTGAGGAAAAGTCTTTACGAGATGGCCAGAAACTTTCCTTGTGTTACCCCCTCTCCTTGCTCTAACTCTGAAGTCTGCAGAACTGTGATTGTTTCAAAGTCTGTCTATATATATGTGTGTGGCTAAAGGGACAGCTTAACCCACGAGGTCTTTCCCCCTTGGTTTTCTGTGACAACTGTCAGTTCAAACTGGCTGAAGACTTTTCAGAGCCATCTGCAGAGAATTGGTCTTTCCCCCACAAATGCTTCTCTCTTGTGAATTAGACCATGCAAAACTTACTTAAACAGAGAATTGAATGTCAAACTGATCAAGCCAGCTTACCAAATATAAAGGTTAGGGGAGAAGTTAAATCCTGAGCAGAACCAGCAAACGATTTGATATCTTTGGAAGGTAAAGGGATTAGAAGGGCTTTTTCTCTTGCCTTGTGCTTTCTCTTCCTTCTTGAAGGCAAGTACAAGAATATTCCCTTTGGTGAAAAGGCTTTGTTCATACCAGACAAAGGAACATCTGTTTTTTCATGCCCATATTACAGACAGGCATGTAATGAGTTCATTATTCCACTCTTTCAGGATAATTTGATTCTTTCCAAAAAAGCCAAACTTTAGTTCCTTCTATCAGATAAAGATGCTAAGATCACATACCAAGTAGCCACTTTCTATAGGGCAATACTCAGGTAAGGAAATCTTATGCTATTCGTTAATAAATCTATACTGTTTGTACAATTAAGCTGTGGATTTTAGCAAAGCTTTTATTACTATTATATACATCTTTGTGGCAGTACATGTTTTAGTTTTATGGCTTAGGTTATTTTAATTTTTAGCCTCCATTTCTTACATTTTGTTTCAAAGTACATCTTAAAATGTTATTTTAATTGGGAAAATTGAAAAGCATTGTTTAATCCATTATGCTGGCCCATATTAGATTATGCTAATTAATTAAATTAATCATTAGATTGATTAAATCAATCAATCAATCAATCACTACCCCAGTATTTCCCATCACTCCCATTGGAGGATTACCTTGTTGGAAGGTGATGTTAAAATAAAATTTTTTGAATTTTAATTTTTAATGGGTTGGCATACTCCTACCTTCTGTTTTACACTTGTCGATGTTTTCTATACCATTTTATTGTATTTTTATTGCTCTTCTTTGCACTGGTCTATCACTGAGACAAAATCTGCATAAGCTTCTGTGCAGTTGGCATAGAAACACAGAAACAGAGCAAGTCAGAAGGGGTCTCCCGGGCCATCTAGTCTGATCCCCGGATCCAGCTGGCTCCGCTCATGACATGCCCACCATATGCATGTCCAGTCTATCTTAGGTCTACATGGATTGAAACTAGGCTATTGTAATTATTCTATGTAAAGTTTAATTCTTACTGTACTTATTGATCTTATTGTAGTATAAGTATTTTGGTATTTTAATCACTTCCTTTTACTGGTGTCCTATCTTAATGTATTTTTTGTACCAATTTGTTTTTAATATTCCTGTGCTGTATTTTACTGGTCTATGACTGAAATAAATTCTTTCAATGTGATGGTCTGAAAATGTAAGTCAGATCCATGTTTCCAGAGGCAGGTAAACTCTTTGCCTGAGTGAATAATATGCTCCATGACAGCCTTCCTCAACCCGGTGCCTTCCAGCCATGTTGGATTTCAACTCTCATAACCCCAACTGGAAAACTCCTCCCTGAATGCCATGCTGGCTAGGAATCATGGGAGTTGTAGTCCAACACAGCTGGGGGCGATCAGGTGAGCGTAGGAAACTTGATCAGATGCCAGCCTGAAATGCTACCCAGCAGCCCCCAGAAGTAGTTGCTTTAGTTTACATGGTTGGCTACGGGCCAGGCAGGTCACCAGATGCACTCTGGGAAGCCCCTCGTCCGGGCCTTCATAGGGATGGGCTGCAGTGTGCTTTGTTTAGTTTTCTTAAAGTTACACATTCTGTTCCTGGCTCTGCTATAGAACTACCTGGGAAAGAAGGTTAATAATCCACCTTTCCTGTTGCACATTCCCAGTGCAGAGAAAGGCATCTCAGCAACGTATTTTCCAGACTCCAAATCTGGTCTAGATCTCTTGGGCCTATTGTAATGCAAATATATTTTCCTGAGCTGCACAAAATGCAATTGTGGAGCAGAAAGTAGTTCCATGAATGGCTAATTCATCACCATGGTGGGTCGATTAAATCGGTCTTATGCATGCACACAAGTAACTCAGGCACTGTACTTCTGCTACACAAACAGGGTGAGATCAGCAGCTCTTTCTACTTTTGTCATGGCTGTTTCAGCAGTCATTCCATCTTGCTTAACATCCACACAGAAACCTGGTGCAGTCCTTCAGCCCATTGGGAAATGGGGTGCATTCAACTAATGAAATGCTTACATTCATCAGATGCTTTTCTTCACCCGTTTCCATTTTAAGAAGGAAATTGGCTGCTCACCTGCGTTTCACAGTCCAGAAGTCGGATGGACTTGTCATTCACCTGCAGCAACATCTCTTGAGCCCAGATCTTCTCTTTTGAGTGAAGCAGCTTGAACTTCTTGATGGCATCATCCACTGTTACACTGCCCTCACTCTTGTCCATGATGAAGGTGGCTAAATGCTGGAGGGACAAATTCACAAGAGGTGTGGAGGGAGGAGAAATGCCATAATTGCAAGACTAAATAGGAGAGGCTACAGACCGATTCAACTCCATGCGCACCAATGGATTTTATTCAAGGACCACATCTATTCATGCTTCTAGATAGAGGCGTCCCAGTGCTAGCAGCCACAAGGCTATGGTACAGCCCTGTCTGTCTTGGACCCTCTTTGATACCAAACAAACAAACAAACAAACAAACAAAAAGACAGAAATAGTGGGAAAAGGGTAATAATGAGGAAAACAACTGTGAATCAGGCAAGCTGACGGCACATCTGGATGCATCCAAGTTGTTGCTGTCCCACCTGCCCCCACAGCAGAATCAGCATAGGTTACTCTGTCTTCTCCTAGGGATGTGACTGCCTGCTTCTTCATCAATGGATGCATGAGCAGCCATACATTCCACGGTCTCAGAACTGGATCTCCTGCAAGCAACACCACCAAATGGCTCCCATAGAGGATGTGGCTAATCACCTAAGGGCTTGCAAGTCAAAAGTGACTTGTGGGAGAGAACTAGCAAGGGCAGAAGCTCAGAAGAAGGGGGGACAGCAAGGCAAAGGGGTGCCGGGGAAGGAAAGAGCCAGTCAGTCCTGGTTCCCTGACTAGCACGCTCACCCTGCATACACCAAAGGTGTATCTGTGAATCGCACGGCTGCAATACATTTTCAGGTGTATGCTTAGAACATGATGAGGTGTGTGCTGGAAGAATCCAACACGCAGGTGCCCTTGCCTTGTTCCGTGTCCCTGCACTGCATAATCATGTGCTCCCCTTCAGCAAGCCAGAGCTAGGAATGCAGCTTTCCGCAGGCAGTAGAAAAGCTGGCTGGGCATGACAGTGCACGCAGTCATTTTCAGGCGGGCTCCAAACCTGCTGTCCCGGCTGAGAAAGCGTTCAGCGGGTCTAACATGATAGGATCTCTTGACCGTGGGAGTGGCAGGAGTCAGGTGATTTCTGTCCAATTTGTGTGGACAAGTGTCACTGCAATTCTTGGCAGTGCAAGGAGACAAGGCTGGAAGGCTGCGGTTTCCTAATCTCTCCCCCCTCCGCTTGCCGTTGTTACAGTGCAGAACAACTACGCTTCCCAGGCAGAGAGAGAGAGAAAAACAAACAATGTTTCTGCCTGTGGTTTTATCAGCCAGCAGAGGGAGGCACCAAACAAAGGCAAGAGAAGACATTCCCCATGACCCCATTATAGTCAGTCTTGCAATGGCTGAATGCAGCTTCCTAGATTAGTTCTCCCACCCTGCTATTTTAGGCCCTTTTCTCCAGGGATTGCGCTCCATACCTCCTTCTCCAGGAAATGAAGCCCAGGCCATTAACCCTACATTGCATGCTGACCGCCTCAGACCGTAAGACAAGCTGCGCTGGATCAGACCAAAGGTCCATCTGGCCCGGCATGCCGTGCACACGGTGGCAAACCAGCTGCCCACAGGATCCCTCAGGCAGGATGGGGGCAAGACCTCCTCCTGCCCAGCTCCTCAGCAACTGGTGCATGCAGGCAGGCCACCGCTGGTGAAGGAGGCAGCACGCAGCCATCAGACTTTCGGCCACTGATAACTTTATCCTCCAGGAATTCGGCCAATCTGATTTTAAAGCTGTTCAGATGGGTGGGCACCTCACTTCCCGTGGCAGTGAATTCCACAGCGCAACTATGTGCTGAGTGAAGGGCTTCCTCTGATCTGTACTTCTTCTGTGCCTGCTACCGATCCGTGTTGTGCTGCTGCCTCGCAGCCTCATGAGATGACCTCAGGTTGCAGTGTTATGGGAAAGGAATAAAAACGTCTCCCTCCCCACCTTCTCCATATCATGCATAATTTTAAACATCTCTGTCATCAATCCCCTTACTAGCCCTTTTTCTAGGCTAAACAATCCCCGTTGTTGAAACTGTTCCTTCTAAGGGAATTGCTCCAACCCCTTGAGCATTTTAGTTGCCCCTCTCCCCACTGTTTCCGTCTGAATGATGCCAAGAACTGTTGACAGTATTCCAAGTGCAGCCACAGCGAAGATTTGTATAAGGGCGATGTGATCTCGGAAGTTTTACTTTCAATTCCTTTCCTAATTACACCTACCACAGAGTTTGCTTTTCTTCACAGGAGCCACATATGGGGGTCGACATTTACACTGAGCTGTTGATTACAATCCCAAGACCCCATTCTGGGTCAGTCCCTGCTAGCTCAGGTTCTATTAGCCTATACTTGAAGTTGGGACCTTTTGCTTCAAAGTGCGTTACTTTACACTTGCGTACGATCAACTTGGATGCCCATCCTCCCAGCTTGGATAGACCCCTTTGGAGTCCCTCATAGACTCTTTTGGATGTAACCGTCCTAAATCATTTGGTGCCATCAGCAAACATGGTCAGGTCACCACTTGTTCCTAGCCAAGGAAGCTGGAGACTGCTATGCTATTGACACTGCTCATTTATGGCAGATTTCCTTCTGAGCTTTCTAGGATCTATCCTAGAAAGGAAAACCTATTTTGGAAATAGAGTCCAGCACTGTGGCTAGCCTCATAAAACTCCAAATAAAAGCTGCCATGGATGAGGAGCCCCACTGAGGCTGTGTGCATCTCCCTCATTCAGCCACCTGCCACCTGGAGCTTCTGCATCAGATGCTAAAATCCTCACATCCTGTTTCCTACAACTTAAAGCATTTCTAGGTAAAAAGCCAGGAAAATAGATTAAAGAATAGGGACTGGGGACTCCAACCCTTTGGGGCTTGTTGGCACATTTGGGAATTTGAGAAACTGCTGTGGGCACCACAACAAAAGGTCTTCCATGGAGGATGCGGCTAGCCAGGTCATGATGCTGTGGAGGGTTGGCTAGTTAAACAGGAACTCAAGGGGGTGGTGTCTGGGAGGCAGGGGAAACAGCCGGGCAATGGGGTGGAGGGAAGAGCAAAGGCAAGGTAGAAGCCAGGAAGGGAGACCAGGATGAGTACCCTAACATTTCCCCAAGTTTGTATCCTCAAAAAATGAAGGGGGAAGGAAATATTAGTATTCCACTACCCTTGTATCGCACCTTTTTCCTTCCTGCAAGGAAGCTTACCTAGTTCCATTCTTTCCTCACAGAAACCACCCTGTGAGGGAGCTGCAGCTGAGAGTCTGCGACTGGCCCAGCGCCACTCATGAGCTTCATGGCCAGGTGGGGACTAGAACCCAGATCCCCCGAGTCCCCAGTCCAGCACTTTAGCTGCCGCATCACAGTGGCTCTTGGAGCAGAGAGCCTGGTGGAGGCTGCTTTGCAGGTCCCGGCTGTGAGCATTCAGAGCAGAGGATGAACTGGGAGAGCTGCTGGCAGGGGAAGCACGGCAGACTCCAGTTTCGCCTTCTCCCTCCCTGCTGCACACGGCTGCCTCCCAAGGAGGCGCTGCGGTAGAGAAGGAGGAGGCGTTGGGATAGCGCTGGACGCAGCAGCGTGAAGCCGGCCCTTAACTCTGGTAACTTCAATGCTTCGGAGGCTTCCCCGCATGAGGCATCTGTTGCGCACTCATGATCCCTCACCCACTGAACATGATGTGCTTTTCTGGGAGGCTGCCGTCTTCCCCAGCACCTCTCCCATGTTTTCCAGCCTTCTTTGTATTTTTTTTTTTTAACTGAGGAAAGTCTGGCATCAAATCACGAAAAACTGGAACAAAAGCCTCCTGAAAAACCACAAATCTGCTCTGATCCAAGCATGCCACAGGGCCACCTTGTGCTTCTTTAACAGAATATATGGAAAGGCAAAGAAATGCAAAGCCCAGGGAGGAAAGCGATTGAAGAACACACTTTTCCTGCCACAATGAAAATGGGAGAAGACGCCTCGGCAAGCAAACTCCTCGTGCGGAAGAGGCCCCAGGCCGCCAGCCACGCCTGAGCTTTGGGAATGTGCAAGCTGCTGTGCATACGGTGAGCATCCCTCAGCCCATCATAGGGGCTGGTGCTGCTAATTTTTTATTTGGATTTTGATTGGCAAAGCTTTTAAAAAGGAAAAAAAAACTTGGACCTGCCCAAAGTTCTAAAATGGTTTTATGTCTCTAGGGTTTTTTTTGCACAATATTTACAGAAAAGAACTAAGAGTGAAACTAGATGAACTGCCTATCTGACAGCTATCACATTTACTTTGATCAAAGTTCAAGGTAGTAAATCGGTTCACAGCTGAGTGCCTGCAATTATTGTATTTTTCGCTCTATAAGACGCACTCCTCCCCCCCCCCCTCAAAAGTAAGGGGAAATGTCTGTGCATCTTATAGAGCAAATGTGTGCCCGATGCCCAGGTCACTGCCGGCCCGCCTGCACCACGTGGCACCACCTGGCCGGCACGCGCTCGGCGCGCCCTGCTCCGCCCCCCGCCTCCGGCGCAGGTGAGAGCTGTGCCGCTCAGGGGGAGCGGTGCGGAGGAGGAGCAGCTGCGGGCCTTAACCCACCGGCCGCACAGAGAGATGGACTGCTCACCCCCACCGCCCGGGAAGACCTGCCACGGAGGAGGAGGAGCCGCGGGCTTTAACCCACTGGCCGCACGGAGAGACGGACTGCTCACCCCCACCGCCCGGGAAGACCTGCCGCCGCCTGGAAGACCACCGCTGGCACGCTGCCGGCCCGGCTGCACCACACCTGGCCGGCACACGCTTGGCGCACCCTGCTCCGCCCCCTCCTCCAGCGCAGGTGAGAGCTGTTAATCACAGGTCGGTGTGTGTTTTCAAATGGCAACCCGTCTTTTAATGAAGCCGATGGGGAAGTGATGGGGAATGTGCCTGTGATTATCAGGAAGCTTTCCATGGATCCCTCCTCTAAAAATTAGGTGCGTCTTATGGTCAGGTGCATCTTATAGAGTGAAAAATATGGTAATAGCAATCAAAAGGCATTCTGGTTGTTGGCAAGAGTAAAATCTCCAGTGGAAATGATTTGCAACCTTTTATTGCTTGTTTGCCGAGGATAAGCTCAGTGCTTGATCTCTAAAAAAAAGAAGCACAGCTCTAGCCTTCCTAGCAATTAGGTCTACAGCTCCTTAATATTATACCTATATAAGCAGGTTATTAATGGACGGTTTTTGAAAGGGGGCCCTTTGAACATGAAACTCCCGGAGGGCTCATGCATTCACCCATGTGAGATCAGCATAGACAGAGGCACGGGGTCACATGTCTGCTCTGTCCCCTCTCATCCATACAGTCACACAACCCTTTGAACGGGGTCTGCATCAGCATCCCCCAGCCGCTCTATAAAAATTAAGCAAGCATGTATTAAGATCCCAGAGGAAGGCAGCGTACTGAACTTTGTCTGAGAGACCTGAGACCGCATGAGAAAGAAAAAGAGGGAGGGGCAATGACCTGGTTCACACATAGCATCAGCTCAGAGCTTATTTAGCCCATGGTTAACCCATAGGTTTAACTATGCAGAATTTGTCTGGAAGGCCATTGAACAAAGTGCTGTGTGTATGTGTGCGTCAGTCCTTAGGTTGGCTGGTTTCTTCCCTCCTCCTTCAACAGCATTCTTCTTGTAACACAAATGTCTTTTTGGTATTGAAATACTGGCATGTTGAGCTCCTCTCGATATTTGATCTGGCACTTCACTGAGGCGTCTTCCTCCCATGTTCTTTGTGAGATGAGTGTCCTTTAGAGTGTCCTTCACACAAGTCCCCCCTCCACCCCACACTTGGGGTTTTCCCCCTCAGATTCCATTAAACAACGCAAGGTGATGCTGTGGGGATAGTAGGGATTATGAAAATACACCCTAACCCCAACCCCAACCTCTGTAGAGAATAGCATCTAGGAAAATACCAGACTTTTCTCATTGTTGAAAAAGTCACGAAAATAGCCAGAAAACTCAGATAAGTTTGTGAAAAGGATCCACAAATATTCATGACTGAGTCAGGGATCCCATGTACACAATGAATGCCTCATGGAGAGAAGCCCTCAGTGGGCTATTTCTGTGTCTTTGTTTACCACACCTGTCTGCCACCTCTATAGCCTTGCAAACAACACATGCTTCTAAGTTTATGTATCATGACAACTCATGGTTGAAACAACCCAGCATCCCCAATACAACAACAAATGAAAAGTTCTCTTTCTGGGATTTTTTGTGCCATTAGAATGATTGTGTCTGGGTTTGCTAATCATGTTAACCCAAAACTCAAAAAGCCATGGATTAAATTAACCATGGATTAAACACTTTGGGTTGGTGTTATGTGTGAACCAGGGCAATACATTCCCAAACAACATAAGACCACCAACTCAAGAATTACCATGAGTTTCTTGTGCCAGTAACCCAGGAGAAACAGTTAATCTCAAATTCAACAACCAGATCTAGCAGTTTTCACCTCCACTAGGGACAGATCTTTTATAACCGAAATAACAAAATCACCGGGTGAGAGAAATGGTCATTGATCCCCTAGAGATCTACCAGCAGATCTCAACCCACCTTCTGCTCACCACTAGTCTAGGTAAATTTTTGGGAGGGCAGTGGGTTATATGAAATAAATAAACAGCCTGAAGCTATGTTTACTTGGATGAAAGTCCCACTGAAATAATTGGAGTTCTGGAAAGCAATGAGGAAGAAGGACAAAGATGAATAATACTTATTAGCCTTCAATATTATCAGCATATTATGGGTTGGGCTTCTGTTGTTTGTTCACAGTGAACACTCTGAACTGTGCTGGGCAACATGGTTATAAAGATGCCATTTGAACTGTTCTAATATAATTGCATGTCATCAGCAGCATGTCTAATTTGCACAAGTTTATTGCTCATCCATACTGAATACTTCTGACTCACCTGCACATGGTATTGTGACGTCTCATGCATTATGACATTGGAGTTGGAATACTTCTTTCTTTGCTCTGTAAAAACAAACAAATAAGTAACTTTGCAGTAACTTATCAGGCAGGGATCCAGATTCCAGTGAGGTAGTCCTGGACTTTCTCCTCCTTGTCACCCTTGCAACCTGCTTGCTCACTTGCTTCTTGCTCTGGTCCAGGCAACAGAGGAGGAAGGAAGGAGGAAGGAAGGACGGAAGGAAGGAGGGAGGGAGGGAGGGAGGGAGGGAGGGAGGGAGGAAGGAAGGAAAGAAGTTGAGGCTGCTACTGGCTTGTGCCCAGCTCTTCTGCTGTTGAGCAAGCAATGATGGGAAGAGCCGAGGGCAGGGAGAAAGCAGGCTCATGGAGGGAGGGGACCACATGGCAATTTGCCCAAGGGTCCTCAGAAGCTGGAAATGGCACTTGCTGGGTAGGAAGTTTAGGCTATACAGAGATGTAGCTTTTTGGGAAATTGCCATTGTTAATGAGAGAATCACTGCTTTCTGCTGCTCATCTTTTTCTGCCACACTGTGGCCTCTGACCAAACATGACCTGGGTCAAAACCCCACCACCGAAGGCCCACAGAACTTGCCTAACTTCTTCTTCTTGTTGTTGTTGTTAATCACGAAGTCTTGTCCGACCCATCACGACCCCATGGACAACATTCCTCCAGGCCTTCCTGTCCTCCACCATCCCCCGGAGTCCACTCAAGCTCACACCAACTGCTTCAGTGACTCCACCTAGCCACCTCATCCTCTGCCGTCCCCTTTTTCTTTTGCCATCTATTGTTCCCAACATTAGGCTCTTCTCCAGGGAGTCCTTCCTTCTCATTGGGTGGCCAAAGTATTTGAGTTTCATCTTCAGCATCTGGCCTTCTAAAGAGCAGTCAGGGTTGATCTCCTCTAGCACTGACCGGTTTGATCGCCTTGCGGTCCAAGGGACTCGCAGGAGTCTCCGCCAGCACCACAATTCAAAGGCCTCAATTCTTCGGCGCTCAGCCTTCCTTATGGTGCAGCTTTCACAGCCATACATTGCAACTGGGAAAACCATAGCCTTGACTATACGCACTTTTGTTGGCAGGGTGATGTCTCTGCTTTTTAGTATGCTGTCTAAATTAGCCATAGCTTTTCTGCCCAGGAGCAAGCGTCTTTTAATTTCTTGGCTGCAGTCCCCATCTGCGGTGATCTTGGAGCCCAGGAAAATAAAATCTATCACTACCTCCATTTCTTCCCCATCTATTTGCCAGGAAGTGAGAGGACTGGATGCTATGATCTTAGTTTTCTTAATGTTGAGTTTCAAGCCAACTTTTGCACTCTCCTCCTTCACCCGCATCAAGAGGCTCTTTAGTTCCTCTCTACTTTCTGCCATTAGAGTGGTATCATCTGCATATCTGAAGTTGTTGATATTTCTCCCAGCGATCTTAATTCCAACTGGTGATTCATCCAGCCCCGCCTTTCTCATGATGTGCTCTAGTCAGACACATTCTATGGTCACTCAGCACTGAGTCCTTCTGTCCCTCCCAGAGCCCTTTCGCGTGCATAGAGCATAGAGGCTTGGAGAGACGGGCAGAGGCTTCTTCATATCCTATCACAAATAAGGGAAGACAAGGAATAATCAGAATCTCTTCTGACCAACAGGAGAAATGCTCCGTGTTTCTCACTTTGTCCCTATGCCTGTGCAGGTGAGAGAGCCCTGTTTTCTCACCTTCTCCAGACTGCACCACAAATGACAGCAGCGGGGGGAGAATCAGCGCATTCTCTGGCATCTTCCTCGTTAGAGGGCCAGGGGCACCCTTCTCCCTGACAAGATGACAACTGCCTGTCTGTCGGTCTGGTTGCCTAAATAGACACATGCTAGTCTCCCATGGCGCGTAAAAATCAGCCCCAGGCAACCATGCTTTATTTTTTAAAATTCCAGGCAAAAATGGCTAGTATGTGCAGGCATGAAGGCTAGCAATAGTTTTTGGGCTAGTATCTTTTGCAGACTTATTTACTAGGTTTCTCTGGCTGAATAGGGGGAAAAAGTATAAATAAATCTTAAGATATCAACTTACAGAGGGGAAATCTCATAGTTTGTCCCAAACAAAAATCATGAAGCATGATGAAAAGGATAAATGACAATCTACAACAGAAACTGTAAAAATACAATGACACACCCCTCAGTGTGTGGTTTCAGGATGGGTGACAATGTAGACGAGTTATGTTCATTATGACACAACAGCACAAAATACTGAGATATTCAGTCAACAGAAGGGGAGAATGAATAGGAATGTTTTTACTCAGCAGTTCCTACTGGGAGGAACTGCCACAACATAAATGATCTGCTTTTATAAAACTGCCAGCTAGCTTCACAAAGCAGTTGGAAGAAGCAGGTTAAAGCTCAACAAACCTGGCTGAATTCAAGCGCATAGGTCAATGTTGAAAGAATTGCACAACTACTGTTAGGACTAAGGGGATTTTGGGCTGGCATTTCCTGAAAAGCAGCTTCTCACATGACATGGCAAATAATTTTTGAAACAGCTGAGGAAACTCACCAAAGCAGTGACTCTGTTTGCACATAGCAGCATCGCAAAGTGAAACTAACCCGTGGGTTGTTGCCTTACCAAAAGTCAATCCATGGTTTGGCTGCTGGGCCATCAAACAAACCAGAAGTTTTTTTCAATAATGAGGAAAGTCTGGCAGTTTCCTAGATGGTGCCATCATTCACTACAGAATCCTGATGTATTTCTGCAATTTTGCTCTATGTTATAGCAGCGTCTTAAGTTATATAATGAAGCATATGGGAACTTATAGGAAGACAGAGGTGGAAACCTGTGAAAAAATACCTAGTGGGAAGGATGATCTAGTCCTCTGGCAAAGAAAGTAGAAGCAGCAGCCTTGGTAAGGTGCCGGGTTATATGACGCATGTAGAAAAGCTCCAATAGGATAGTTATATGGGTGTTCTAACAAAGGATGCCACAACATGTAGATGGTAGCTTTAAAGGAGAACCTATAAAAATCCATGCTTTAATTCTGCAAAATTCAACTGTCTAACTCATTAGGCCACCGAATAAACCTTAACTGCAGAAGCAAGCTCTGTTAAAGTCAGTAATACTCCCAGGTGAGTGAGTGCAGCCTAAACTGTGTTTCTAGCCCCCCCCCCCCCCGCCCCACTAAAAAATCTTTGGCCGTCACGGAGACAGAACTAAACCTTGGCTCAGGATCAGTGCCAGTCAGGAAGAGGCAGGCAAACTATCAGCCATACCATACCCGATTCCACAAATTGCATATCATCATGTAGGGAAGTCCTTCCAACAGGGCCGTCTTAACAGCATTATGGGCCGCGGGCAAAGCAGTGTACTGGGGCCCCTACGACAACTACAACGACTGTTAATTTTGGAAGCTTTCCAATTTTCCAAGGGTTAACATACACAGATTAGTTTGGGGCCCACAGGCAAGTGCCCATCAGGTGTTAAGACGGCCCTGCCTGCCAGTGCTCCTGCTCTGAGTTCAAAGCACCTTGTTAGGAAGGCTGCTCTCCCTCACCACTGGCCGAGGTGGCTGGAGAACTGCTCTGGAGGGCACACGTGGCACCAGGTTGGAGAAGGCTGCCCTGTGGCAGTGCAGCGAAATATCCCAATTGCTGAGCTTGCTACAACAAGGCAAGCCACTTTCCAAGGACCTTTACACCTCCTGTATAGGAACGTACAGTGCAATTCTATTCTCGTCTACTCAGAATTCAGTGGGCTTAATCCCAGATAGCAGATGCAACCTCAACTTTTATTCCTGGCAGTCCAAAGCAGTTGATGTAAAGCTTTTGAAACACACATTAAAGCATGAAAAAAAATCACTTCATCACATTGCTACTGATTTAAAAGAGCCACAGTAAACTAATTTTTCAACTGCCAGCCACCTGAAAAGATTAGAATTTACAGAGGATAATATAATCAAGGATTTAACCTACATTTTAGTAAACCTGGCCTTGCACCTACATTTATGAGTATTCTTTAAATGAAAGCAAATATATATCATCTATTTCTTAGCTTTACTTTAATTATGGGTCAGTGAGGATGATGGAGTTAGGTGAAGAAGAAGAGTAATTTGTTTTTTAAAATCATTTATGAACAAAATCATAAATTGGGAGTCATTAAATTCTGACATTAGCCTGAAAGCTCTGATCTTGAACTGGAACATGGTCAGTCACAGGAGGTGATGACTCTGCCTTTTAGTCACAGGGAGTACAGTTTTAGGATATATTCCTCTAACAAGATTGGTTCTTGATGCTGGAACACTGTGAACAGAGAAAAGAAGGAAAAGAGAGGAAACCACACAAATGGAATAAGATGAAAGATTCTGTGTCTTAAAATAAGCTGATAAATCTGTCTTCATGTTCTCCTAAATAAACAGCCTGAAGCTATGTTTACTTGGATGAAAGTCCCACTGAAACAATTGCAGTTACTCCCAAGTAAGCAGCACAGAACAAAACCACACATCATTTGTGTTAACCTGGGCTTCATATCCTCTTCTTTAAAAAAATCATGAAACATGCCTGTAAAGCCAGAGCCTTTGCTGCGCTTGGCGGGGATAAATGTTGCCGTCAGAATGAAACTTTTGCAGAGAGAAGGAACAGATCCCCTTCCCGGAAAGAATCAGCTTCAAGGCAATTTGTCCTCTGCATTTCATCAGGGAATCCTGAAGAACCTCCAAGATCTCGAATTAACACACTCAAAAAAGTAAGCTGTTGGAAAGCATTTCAGCAATGAGCATTCTCTGACCTCTGGTCCTTGTCCTACAGAGCAGCCAGCGATAGCCGTGAAAGGCACGCTTAGAAGATAAGAGCTCGGCACCTTGTAGCCAGCAGAGGTCCATGCTTGGGTCACTGCAATACTCCGCAACTTCATACAGTTCATTGCATGTTCCGGTTTCATGTTAAAAGCTCAATGAGAACCAAACCCCCTTCCAGGCAGCAGGGCTCTTAGCTCCACTACTCGGCCATTGGACTTCCATGGTAAAGTGCAAGAGGAATTTCTGTACGCTGCCCACATTGTGCGGGGAAATTGCTAGTAT